CCGTCCCATTATCGATTTTTTTTAATTTGCATGGCAGCCTTTTTGAATTTCGCCACCTTCGTTTTTCATTATTTGTTGTTATAGCAGCAATAGAAATATACACTGTGAAAACTACAATTGTCTACCTATTACGGTTCATGAGATACAGCCCTCTGACAGACGGACGGATGGATGGACGGACGGACAGCGGAGGCTTAGTAACAATTCAGCGTTTCATTTTATCATGTATTAAATGGTATTTTAAGAAATTACTACAATAAACAAATATTCATATTTTACCTATATTGAAGCGTGCACGTAAATACTTGCGTTTAGAGCGAGTAGTGATTGTCAGCTAAAGTGAATCATACTCGTAGTTGAATCACGTACCTGTTTCCATGTTAGTGCGGTGTTTGGCTTAGCGCTTACTGAATTTAATAAGTAATAATATGTACCTATCGCCTAAACCTGCTCTAGTATACTTACTTGATGAGACATACGTTGATAGATTAGAAATACCAGTGTCCGCTTAGTGGTCGAAATTCTATAAGGTCGACTATAATTATTATTGATTTTAGGAAAATATACTTGGATAGAATTTACCTATCTCTATAAAAATCCAATTTTTTTTTATAAATCTAAAGCTCGTTCGTTAAAAGCTACTAAACAGAGGAGAAAAAGCACTGTTTTGTCATTGGCTATTTGTATATAGACATATATTTTGTACTAATTTCTCCTTTAAATAAGTCTTATTTAGGAAACCAAAATATTTGAATAATAAATAAAACAATTAAGGTATTAAAAATAATTAGAATCGACAAAATCTGAAAGTCCATGACGTGTAGTTTCCTTTTATTTCATTGTTAATTTTCGTTGGCAAATATTTATAATAATATTAGCAATATCCAAGGAACTTTTAATATGTTGTATTTCAAAAGAAATTTTTAATTAATTTATTATACATATTATAATTATTATAATAATTAACAAAAACATCCACAAATAATATTGAATCAAATTTTATGTGTACATAAAAAAACTACAACACAATAAATATATTGCATATTATATTAAATGTAACAAGAAATTTATCATTATATATGCAAATTACGTTGCACAGGCGTGTGTACATTAAAGTCTATGAATTATAAATTGGTACTTCATCAGCGAGACACTCGACCAAAGTTCGTTAAAATTATCGTGCAGAATATGCTTGAACTTAAACATATTAAAATTCTTAACCTTTTCCCATTTAAATTACAGTAGGTGCTTATAAACAAATTGATTACGTGTATTTACCACAATTTTTAGGATTCCGTACCGTAGAAGGGTGCCAACGGAACCCTCTTACTAAGCCTCCGTTGTCCGTCTCTCCGTTTGTCAGAGGACTGTATCTCATGAATGGCAATAGATTAGAGAGTTGAAATTTTCACAATATGTATATAATAAAAAAAAAATTAAAAAAAGACATATTTTTTTAACGTTCGTAATCGATCATCGAAGTTAATATCTACATACATAGGGTAAAAGTCATATTAATAAAAAGACTTTTACAATGGTACGGAACCTTCATGTGCGAATTGGACTTGCACTTGACCTCATTATACACAATTTTTTCAGCAAACTGTCCGTAGTTGGGTTTATTATTAGCTATTTTTGGAATTTGCTCTTTGAATTCTTTGGAAATTGTGTGAGTAAGAGCTGATACGGTTTAAAGATTCGCTATATTATTATTAAAAGGCCTCATTGCAAGCGTTTGGACACAAAGGAATAGCAAGTAAAAAAACAATATGACAAAATGTATCACGATATTGCCAAAAAAAATAATCCTACGTCTAGGGCTTTAAATGATTTCGTTATATAAAGATATTTTAAGTTTAAGTTATTTAATTGAATGTATATATATATGTATTTCTTAATCCAGACATACCGAATACCAACCCTCGTTTCAAAATAGTTAAGATCATTCCTTCCTTGACTTTACGATGTTAGAAAATCATACTTTAATCGATCAATAATAAAATATCGATGGTGCGTGTCGAACTCGAGCGAATTCATTACTTATCAAGGCACATATTTATTAATATTAATAACCTATGGAGGATTTATCGCTTGATGATGATTCAACGTCTGGCACTACGAGTACGTGTAATACTTTAATATTAAAATTAATCATATGTATACATATTTACAATGTACATATGTCCATATGTCCGTCCAATTATCTCTAGTAATGTAAAGCTCTTCTTGTTATTTATGTATTGCTTGTATACAATATTAATGAAAAACTTTGGTACAAAATTTTTAGTTTTTTACAGACTATTTTCAAGTTATTTTTATACTATTGTTATATTAAAACTAGTTATTTGCGCCTTGCACTAATAAACATGATTTCGCTTCTTAGTACTAATAATAACCTACGTACCTATATACTATACGTATATACTATACTAGCATTGCCCGCGGCTCCACCCGCATTCAGGTGACCAAAAACCAAATTCTTAGATTTTACAAATTAGTATACTCTTACATTGCAGTTTTTGCATTTTTTCTCAGAAATGAGATATTTTCCCGAGGTAAAACGTATCCTATATGTTAACCCGGATAACCAGCTATCACCATACCAAATTTCATCAAAATCCCTCCAGTGGTTTTTCTGTGATGCGGTAACAGATAGACAGATAGACAGACAGACAGACAAAAATTCTAAAAACTATGAATTCGGCCTCTGTATCTATAATAATGTCTATTTCAATAAGATTTCCCAAAAAATATTTAATGTACAGATTCGGCTTAGTTACAATTTTATTATATGTATAGATCAATTTATATCTCATTTTTTACTAGACATTTTATGTAAAACGTAATCTTTCTCTTAGTCTAATATAATGCCTATGTTATAAAACAGTAACTGCAACATTGTATTTGTTTCGCTTTTCTTGTGAAGATTTTACTGCAATGTAGATATGTATGTAGCAGTCTCGGCTTGGCGTCTCTACTTTTTGCCTATTTTTTTACTCATGCGTGCCTCAATTGTTCACAATATATGTATATTTCCGATACAGGTATTTATTAAATGTTATGAAAGAAATGTACTTGAAATGTAGAGCAAATAATGTCTGTAGTCTCTACATAAGAAACATTAATTAATTTATATTGTAACATATTATTTTGTGACATAAAAATATTATAACTATAACTAACTACTGCTGGAAATGTAATTGAAGTTTGAAAAGCGACCCAAATGTCATATCAAAATATGAAATCCAATTTACTATAGTGCTTTCATAACAGAAAATAGAAGTAAAACCTTCACTGTACGTACATATTGTGTTTCAAATGCATCACAGAATTTATTATTTAATTAAATTATGAATACACAGAACCACTGCTTAGACTCAACTATACAGAGGTAATATTTTATAAATCCTTTGTTTGACTTATAATGGAGTATGAAGGTTAATAAGCTTCGCGATAAAGGGAAAATGAGCTTGTGGCCTTATTAAAGTAAAGAATATTTTTTTCTTACTGTAGTACATATATTATAAAAAATACTAATTACTAGAAACTGGAAAGTGAATAGTATCGACTAGAAACTTTCTAACTATTATATGAAATTCTTATAACACAAAAGTTTGATATTTTCCTACAGATTAGACCAGCCATACTCAACCTTTTTTTTATAGGAGCCACAAACACGTTTCAGTCATGGTGTGGAGGCCGCAAGCAAAAATTATTTAGGTCTTAATGAAAACGTTATTCCAAGTTAACGATGTAGTTACTTTTTTAACAAAGATATGATAATAATGCGTTTTTTGATGCTGCCGCATGCGGCCAGCGGGCCGCAGGTTGAGTATAGCTGGATTAGACGATGGAGCTAATAATAAGAGATGGATAAAGGAATTAGTTAGTAAAAAAATAGAGTTCAAACTATTTGATATGAATGAGTTCAAAGTCATTTTATTTATTTTGACGAGCCCCATTTAAATTTTACATACATAAATAAAAATATTTATTCCACGACGCATATTTTGATACTTTATTTTGCACGTAATTCAATCTGCACTAATAATTACTAACTAAAACATAAAATTTAAACATTAAAAAACCCCACCTCATATTACGTTATAAACTAAAAAAAAATGTTTATTCACTTAAACCATTGATTCAAAAAAATCTATTTTAGCCTACAATAACCTTTATATAATTCTGAAATAGCAAAGGAATACTAAACCTTCTCGAGTACTAGACAAGAGGCTACGAACCCCAATAAGAAAGGTAATTTCGCTGGTATATAAACATCGTGCAGGATGAGGGCGACCGTTAGGGTAACTAACAGCTGTTCGCGCACCTGCCGTACCGGCTGTGGACACATCTTTGCTTTTTTATGCCCTGCTCATTTTAACATCCAAAGAAACTTGAGTCACATTCTAAATGTACTAATAAAGACATGGATTATATTGTACTTCGTAGTATTAGGGTGCCTAAGATCCAATAAAATAAACACAGAATAAGACTTTAGTAATAAACTTCAAGTCCCCGAATTAAAATTTCGTTTTTTATATGAACGAAACCTTATTTTAATTATTCATGCCCGGAAAATTATATACTAGCGCCTCAAACAAAACAAAAACAAACCTATCCCACGGGAACCGTACATTGTGCCGGGAACAAAAGTAGCCTATGTGTATATAAAAGTAGCCTAAGCCAGCCTATAGTCCATCTCTGTGCCAAATTTCATCCAGATCCTTTCAGCCGTTCTGGCATGAAAAAGTAACAAACATCCATACTCACAAATTTTCATATTTATAATATTAATACCGATAGGTAGGTACTAATACGTATATGATTAGGTCAATACAAAAAAAAACATAACATTTTAACAAGATATCATTCTTACTAAAGCATTAGATTTTGTGAAACTTTACATATGAACTGCAAAAGGCCCTTTAATATCGCCCGTATCAAATATGTGTAAATACTATAAGATATAGTGGATATATTATTATACCAAGGGCGGCATGTCTTGGTATGCCGTGAGAACTCATAGTCATAACCTTCGCCTTCATTCCACATTCATGGAATCCCAACTATCGGGCCAGCACGCACTTACTGTGATACGACTATGTGAGGACAAAGCTATTATTTTCAATGTCAAACTCTATAGAGATGTGCAGAATTTTAGTTACATATACCGAGACAAAATATTAAGACTTATATATACTTTTGGCCTTCGACTTTTATCTATACAGTTATTAATCCCTCCACGACCGCGGACACGCCGGCGTTACAGTTAACAATAGATTTCTTAGAAATTTAATTAATTTCTTAGAAATTTACCTGGAGGTGTTAACATTTAAAAATTTATGGTTAGTTTTCATAAAAAAATAGTATTTTAATTAATAAGTTCTAAATAGTTTTAAAATCAATTTTTACCAAAATAAAAGCTAAAATATGTATATTTATTGATTTATTTTTCAGACAGTAACAGATCAAAGTTCTGAACGATAAAAAAGTGTTTAAGTTGAAAAGTATTGAAAATTACTCAAAGAAGCGCGATGAGACGAGTTATAATACTGAAGTTTAAACTTGAACTAAGCAAAGTCGGACCAATAGTTTTGTATTCATAAATAATAAAATAAAATGTCTTTTAATTAATAAAAATTCATAAAAAAATACCCCTTTTAATATCTCGCTGCTTTCTTTAATGCATGGGGGAATAGGCCATAGTCCACCACGATTATACTCACAAATCTTTCAAAAACTAGTTAGGTTGTCTCAAGCAAGCAGATTTTCTCACGATAAGTTCCTTTACAATATTAACCAGTATTAAAATGATTAGCACGTAAAATCTCACAGTCGTAAAACCCGGGGGTTGTGATGGGAAGGTGCTTCACCTTGTTTCCAAGACTCCCAATTCGATAACGGCGATTAATAGTTTTGTATAAATTCCCACTAAATCTAGATTCTTATTGACAAAGCTGTATGACTGTGTTATTATCTATTAGTTTAAGGATGTTTTACTTCCGGAAGCCGATATTCTACGTATTCGTCATGTGTGTTACTAAACTACTTAAAGACAAACAGTTGAGTACATGTCACGAAATATTATAGTTGTTCGTAACTAAAATTTTAACTCAAAAAAAAGATTGCAAGGAAAAAGCCACTAAGTAAAGCAAAAATTTTTTTTTTAATAATTAAAATTTTCAAATGCGCTAATCTTATATATACATATTTTTATGTTATATGACTTTTATGTTAAGTATATTAAATTCTTAAAACTTTGAATGGTATGACTTATGAGCGAGGGACCAAGGTAATTTAGGGGGACGTATACAATGGAGTCACCCAACGGCTCAAGTTTTAGGGGACATTGACTCACGAAACATCTGTTTCAAGAAATATCGAAAAAGTTTTGTGTATTTGACTGATTACTTTTGTTCGTAGTACTTGAGATTGTATTTAATTATTTTTGTCGCGTAATATTTCAGAGTAAATGGAGATTAATAAATTGTTAAATCTTTTGAACTCTTGTAAATAAAGTTTCTTACTTTACGAGATATTTTTTTTTTCAGAATAAGCTCCTTATAATTTTATACTCATTTTGTTACAAAGTAAATAAAACCCGATACTTTTGTCAAGCTATTCAAGAATAAAACATTTTACAAGTTCAAATAGGTGGAAACCTCTTAAAGCTTTAATAATATTAACTCAATTTTAAATTGTTTATTTTTTTTTATATTTTACTAGAATCTTATATGATTTTACAATTTCATGAGATTTTTTATGTAAAAGATGTACATAGCAGCGTTGTTAAATTAATTTGTCTGTCTTGGCTGTTGTGTAATACACATATTTATTACAATATTAACATCCTTGTGCATTGTCTATTTGAAATTTCTATATTTCTGTTAATATAGCACATCACCATCAATCATAATCAACTTAAATTATTCATTTTAGTCATACTATAATTTAATTAAAAATAAATAAATACGTTTATTGTGTACACGTGAGAAAATAATATTTTTTTACGATTGATTTCATCAACAGTTGAAATGAACAATGCACAACGTGATCAATTAACGACCCTCTCACTAAAGTAAATAAGAACAAAAGCTTCAGGATAAGGTTTCATTTAGTAAAAAAATCATTGGTATTGCGATGCCTTTGGAAAACTCAACTAGTTCGGACGGATACCACTTAGTATTTTAAGTCACGCTTCTCACGTGTATCACGTATAATCTCTGAAGACTCTAAAGAAATAAACAATAGCAAACTTTTAATTTGTTTATGTTTATAAATATTGAAATCAATTTAATCCCTCCACGACCGCGGACACGCCGGCGTCTCAGTTAACAATAGATTTCTTAGAAATTTACCTGGAGGTGTTAATATTGAGATTAATATGTAAAAAAACTACATGAAGGTAGGTAAGTGTAGAGCAATAAAATCCATATAATGAAAAGGTGTAAGAAAAGAAGTACCTACATAATTCGTTGGCTCACTATTACAAGGTTCTATGTTACAATGTTAGTACTTATTTAGTTATTAATGCTACAAGGTTTTATGTGTCATTAGCTAGAGTTTTGCAAAAACAAACCACTAGATAGCGGCACTTTAACTACAAAATATTCAATTTTACATAGTTCTATGTTTTATTTTTCTTACGATAACAAAATAACGAAGTTCTATGTAAAAATTACTAAACTTCATTTAAAATTAACATAGAACCTTGTAATAGTAAGCCAACGAATTATATAAAGAGAGAAAGGTTCTAAGTTCTTACGTACATAAAACACTCCTACTCTACCATACCTTAAACAAGGTAGTTATTAGAATCGTATTTTATACGCACCTACGAACCCTGAATGGATTTTTAACAAGGTCACTACGTGTCCTTGGAGCAGCAATGAACCGTGGCGGAAGATCGATTTATATATGTATTTATATTTTGTATGATTTAATTATTCATGGAATATTCCACTTATGAAGCCTCTTTGACAATATATGCAATATAAAATTGTTATTGTATATTTCTGAACTGTAACTTCTTTAGGCGTGACTGAGGGGTGAGTCAATAGATACATAGGAAAATGAGTGTCGCGGAAGTGAGAGTCAAACGTATTATTATTAATAATTTTATAATAATTATTACTTATAAAAGTGAATATTTATTACTTATAATTTTATAACAATTATTATATTTATATTTCGATTTGTTTTAATTTAATTGCGGTATCTGCCACAGCGTCAGAGGTTCTCAATTCGTCGGAATCTATTTTTTATGTATGTTCACCGATTACTCAAAAACGCCTGTACCGATTTGGAATTTTTTTTTGTTTCAAAGGGTATACTTCCTAATTCTTCTCATATAAATTTTATCGAAATCAGTCAAGCAGTTTTTTTTAAATCAACAAATAAATTGTTTTTTTAAATAAATTGCTTAATCGAACTAAAAATGGACAAATAAAAACATTAAAAATAAAAATAAAAACCGACTTCCAGGCACTAAAATGTACAAAATATTAAATAACTAAACGGGGCTTTTCATTTAGAATAGATACCTAATCAGATATTTTCGAAGTCGGTGCCAGCCGACAATATCTTAAGTATGAATATGTAATAGGTAAATATGTGTTTTACATATCAAAATATATTAGATTTGCTTTGCATCGGCTACTATATTAACTGGTGTGCTCATAATTACAGAAACAAAAACGCAAAATAAAAGCTTACTTTATAATAATCTACTTATTATCATTTAACCAACTTAATTTAAGGTGGCTTCAAAGTTGTACGTACTAGATTAGTAAGAAAATCATTTAACATCTATCGAATATAAAGACAGATTAACGTAGGGGTAGCGCTTGGGTTTGGTAAGTCTCGACATTCTCAAAGTCCCGGGACACGAGACCATTTTTTTACCTATTCCGTGCACGAGACCATCCACGACTAAGGATCCCGGGACTTCCAAGACTTCTCAGAAGAAAATTATGTTAATTTTTGGCGAGATGTACATATGACAAGGCAATTTTAGTACAATTCAACATTTTATTGAACATATTTTATGTTTCAAATTCTAACATCTATAACGTTAATTATATTCTAAACAATTTGTATATTTAATTTTTATAATCACAAATTTAGTAACATCATATAATTATTATTAAGCAAACTTAAAAATGCTTCAAACAACTACAACTTCTTTTTTAATGTTGCCCTTGAATTTTTTGCAAGAATTTCAGGTACATTTTCTGCAATATTCTTTATTATATTATATGTTCGATTTGACTTTGAAACGAATTGTCGGGTTTGTTGTGTACAGTAGAGCTACTGGTACTAGGTTCGGCGTCCATTATTTCCAACTGGAACCGAAAGTCTCGGGACTAAATTTACAAAAAGTCCCGGGATTTCGGTCACGAGTGGTCTCGGGACCCACCCAAAACCTAGGAAGCGCGTAGAACTCTATTTCTGGCTACCCCGCAAAAAAGCACGCTCGAATTAAGTAGCTCTTTATTTGATGAAATCGATAAAGCAAATATTATTAAAAATATGATACCATACATTTTCTTAACAATTCAAAATTTATTTTTACTGTGTGTAATTTGTTGAGCTGTTTTAATATGCAATTGAGCCCTCAATTAAAAGAACATGTGTTTTACTACTCATCAAAATATATACAAAATGCTGGTCGGCGATCGTGTTAAGAGTATCACCAATTAACTTTAATTAAACGTGTTTAGCGTTTGGCGAAGAACGAACACATGTTGCAATTAAACCTTGGTTTAAAATTTGCATCGCTCTTTACAAAATAACTTTTATTTTTTTATGTTTCCAGTAAGCTTAATATTAGTCAAGTATTCATTGTATTATTCGTGAGAAACATAATAAGCATGACATAAAATATTTTTTGTATACAGCTCAAAAAATATAAATAAAAAATGCGATCTAGCAGATATGAGAGAAATTAAATGAAAATGTTTAATACGTACATGTGCTGGAGACATGGCACTCATTTAAAACACACTGGTAGATTATCCAAGATTCCAGCTCAATCATTGCAGAAGCTGTCATATTTTCGTTAATTATTAAAATATTTCACTAAGTCAAAAAATAAATTGTAAATGTTTTAAATTTCACTATCGCCTTTCACTAAAATTTTTTATTTTTATTCACAATATCAGGTTTAAGTCAATATTAATTATTTATTACAGTGTATAGTCCATAAACATGCGAGTTGTATTCAATGTTTTGATACCGCCCACGTAGGTCAGTAGCTTAAGCTTTTCTGAAATGTCGATTAGCCTTTCTTCTCTGTCACTAGTACGTTTCTGTTTAAGCCGCCCCGGCTGGGAACGGAAGCTATGCACAGAGTTGCCATAACAACGATACGATATTTTCTTATTTCATTTAATATAATAACAGTATTAAAACATTAAAATAAATATAATGAAATAATACCAATAATTACTAAAGCTAAGTAAAATATAATTCAAATCCTACCAATTTCAAAAGGGAAAGGTATAAGTAACAGTTATTAATATAAATTCTTTATGCATATCTCATTTGTTTTTTAGTTAACAAATACTGAATTGTCTATATAGCTATTTAATAATTACAATAAAGTAAAATAATAGTAGGTACACAAACATCAAAAATCTTTTATCTTATTACGTATAATCTATTCATTTAAAAAAATTGTTGGTTGAAATAAAACTCAAAAATAGTTTCAACTTTTTTTAATCTTTTTATATTATTATCAAAATTCGTTTAATTTTTTATATTAAAATGCATTGCTTGAAAAATGGAGTAATCTTAACACTTGGCAACATTTTTATCATAGAGAAGTGTTGTGCTATAGAACTGAGTTATTTATTTCTTTTGATATCGACATCTGTAATAACACTTTTATTAAATTACAATTATATTGCACTTCAATATCGCATATTTTTTCACTATTTATAATAATAAAATATACTCAACATATTGTTCTTTTTAAATTTACTCATTATCTGACTGATTGTTTTATCGTTGAAAACATCACTAAAAGTCTAATACATCTGTTGAGTCTATGGTTTTTCACAAGTGCTTCGTGCAGTAGAAAGTGATCTATTTGTAAATATTGCTAAACTGTAAATAAAACAAGTGAATAGTGCTATAAACAAAAAAGTTTTTGCTTTAAGTACACATGAAAGTGTTTTATGGCTAAAATTGATTATTAAAATAAAGTTAAACCCTTTTAGGTAAGTGATTTTATGATACGCACAATATTTATATCACCTGTCTGCGTTTTTGCGAAAAAAATAATAAGATATTTTTCAAAGGTATTTATTTTATTATGTATATTAGGTTTACAATTTAAATATAAATAATTCTTGAATATAACGCTAAATAATAAAAACTGTTCCGTGTAACCTTGAGCTGAGTGTCATCGTTAAAATCGGCAGCTGTGTTACAAAAGTAAAATGTTTACGTTTTAATTGAATTCTGTGTCAGCATGTTTGTTTTAAATATTCTTTAAATATTCGTTAAAAATATTTAAATACAAAATTTTATATATGATATTCTAAATTTATTTTATTAAGTATGTACAAATAATAGTTTAAATTTAAATTATTTAACACTAACACAAAGGATAAGTACATCTAAAAATATATTTGTTACTGTAACTCACTTATTTTTCAATAAGTTACAATTTTCATCTCATTATAATTAGCACTGATTGTTTAACATCATTAACCTACAACTATCTGTGTAACTAATAAATAATGTCAAATGGCAATAACAATTATGTACATCAATTAGTCGGCTTTATATATATAAAAGTAAATTATTGTTTACATGATAAATTGCATAATAAAGATATTACTACGAGTACTTCCTGAAATTCTTACAGCTTAAAAATTATAATTTTTAATTTTAAGATGAGCTTAAATAATTCAATCTTTTAATTTATTATTTTAAATAATGTGTTAAATATAATTAAACTTATTCAAAAGCATTTTTATATTAAAGTACATTATGTATATGAATTATCATAATGCCTCTAATTGAATTTATGTTATTAGAATTTATACCTCTAGATAAACTTATCAATACATGCGTCACATAGAAGAAATTATTATCATATTAGTCACAGTCACATAAAAGTAGTACTGAGAGTTATTGATAACCACACTATATATAAATATGTATATATATATATATATATATATATATATATATATATATATAAATATTATAAATGCGAAAGTTTGGATGGATGTTTGTTACTCAATCACGCCAGAATGGCTGAACAGATCTTGATTAAAATCGGCACAGAGATAGATTATAGTGTGTAATAGCACATGGGTTATTTTTATCCCGGGAAAATGATTAGTTCCCATCGGATAGATTTATACTTGTTTTATACTAAAGAAGAGTCCGAGCAAAGCGAGGGTAAGTTGTTAGTTGAATATATAATCTAATTTGGAAAACAATTTTAATCTACTTCTAGTTGTTATATCAATCGGATCTAGAGGTTTTTCTTTTTTACTGGACATTCTATATATATAATGTGTCTCCTCCATTCTATTTGACATTGGTTAAGTAAATGGTGCCCAAATGGCACTCCTAGAAGCCATCGGACAAAATAATTGAATTGAACTTGATATTATACTTAAACTGATGAGTGATGACGATGAAGTCAGAAGATATACTTAATTAGTGAATCTTCAATGGCTTCTAGTTAAAACCTTTGGTTTTGGGCTTATGTGATTATTTTCTTATGAATTCAATACATTACAGTAATAATTTTTATAATCAAATATCTATATCACCTCCAGGGAAATTTCTAAGAAATTAATAAAATTTCTAAGACATCTATTGTTAACTGTAACGCCGGCGTGTCCGCGGTCGTGGAGGGAATAATATTAACCCTTAGTGTTTTTTTACTAAAATTTGTGTGAAGTATAAGACAGAACCCATTTTAAGTAAAATTCATTATAAGGTCCTAATAAGTTATAATATATCGTGTTCCATATCATAATGTTACCACTTCAAAGTTCATTGAAACTATTAAATGTGATCAATACGACTTTCACCAGTTATATGGCAAGTACGCACGTTACTATTTTATATACGAATCACATATCGATGCCAAATAGAGACTGTATGGTTTAGACGAGCATTAGATCTATTGTTACGAGTATGAGGCCATTTACAATAATGCATTCCTTATTGAAATGAAAATATTCCTAAATCTAAGTCAATTTATGCTATAAATAAAACAATATTCCTCAAATTAATAATTATGATTGTACTCAAACCATTTATGATAAATAGACATTATATAAAGACTGCCTCGGTGGTGTAGTGGCTAGCATGTACGGCCGGAGGTCCTGGTTTCGAGTCCCGGGTCGGGCCAAGTTTAGTTATTGAGTCTTTCTGTTTAAGTAAGCCTCAGTAACAGCCCGGAGTTGGGAAGTTGGCGGTGTTTCACCCCCGTCCCTCGGAGAGCACGTAAAGCCGTCGGTCCTGCGCCTTAACTCTCACTGGTCGTGTCGAGTGGTGGTCCCACCGGAGTATGAGAGTGACAGGAATAGAGAGTGCACTTGTGTCTGCGCGTACACTTGTGCACTATAATATCTCCTGCGCAGTTGGCTAATCTCAATGAGATTGGCTGCCGTGGCCGGAATCGGTCGGGAGAACATGATCATCATATAAAGACACATTTTTAAAAAAAAAACGATACCTTATGGGCTGTTTCCACACAACCGAGAGAAGAACTAAGACTTATGTTTATTTTACAGTTCTTAAAATATACAAATGTAATTTAATTAATAATAACACACAAAATTATCATGACACACAGATTTGCTAGTTCAAAAACCTTTATCACTATGAGGACTAAATAGCGACAATAAATTTTATCTTTTTAAAGAAAACATAAATCTAAATCATATTATTAAATAATGTAATATGAACTAGAAAACTTAGTAGTAAAAAGTAAATCTCGAATCTTTATAACAAGATAGCTATTTCTTCTATACATCTATATCCACATGTAACAAAAGTTTAACTGATCGCTGTCTGTACATGGAAGATATTTGAGAAAATCTATTAATAGCAGTATTTATTAAAGCAATAGAACCAAAAACAATGATTTTTAGATTATTTGTCTGTGCGTTTTTGCGCGCTAATCTTAGAAACGGCTTAACCGATTTGAGTGCGATTTTCACTAATGTGTCGTGGTAGCTTCATTTAACATTTAGTATTTGTGTTATTTCAATCGGTTCATAAATAAAAAAGTTATATCAATTTAAATAATCACCTATAGACGAACTCGAGCGAAGCAAGGGGCCAGTCGCTAGCGAATATGCAATAGTTATGCATTATTACCCATACCTCAAAAAAATAATAATAGGAGTTACCAAATAAAATTGATTCGACGAGTTTGTTGAAAGCATAAACACTTCCGCAAATTTAAAATATTTGTGACTTTAAATTAATACAAAATTTAGACTTCGTGTCGTACATTGAAATTAAATTTTATAGTTTGTGTGTTTGAGTGTGTTCATACTTCATACAACATAAATAGCTTTTCTAGCCAATGAATATCTATATATGGACTGAAACGGTATGTGCCTTATCAGTCCCATGCTATGCCAAGTCCGTAAATAACTAGTGTTTCATGTTTTTATGAACATATTTGTTCTATTTTTAAACGAACATTGTAAAGATTTAGAAATAAACGTTTTTAATGAGATGTTTCACATAGGTTATGATTAAACGGTATTTAAGGTTTAGACAAAATGACATCGAAATTTCTCTTTCCCTACTAAATAACTAAAAAAGTAATACAAAAAAAATCGACTGACTAAAAAAAATGTTAGATTTATGCAGTTGGAGGCATATACATATACAATTACAAGTCTCGGAGCAAATATAAAATATTTAACTTCAAGTATAGATTTATCGGAACTGAGATATTTTCCCGCAATAAAAAAAATCCTATATGTTGACCCGGATAAACAGGTATTTTTCCAAATTCCAAATTTCAATTCCAAATTTCATCAAAATCCGTCCCGTGGTTTTCTCACGATTGTCCACAGACAGACAGACAAATATTCTAAAATCTAAAAAATTGGCCTCTGTATCGAAAGTAATGACTATTTCAATAAGATTTTTAAATAAATTATTTAATTTACAGATTCAGCTCATTAGAATTTCATGTGTTCATTAATTTTTTTTACACTATAAGACTTTTTGTTTTAAAAGTAACTTAAAGTTAATCTTTATATTAAACTAGTATAGCCCGCGGCTCCGCCCGCGTTCAGATGACGAAAAAGCAAATTCTTAGGTTTTACTCTTACAATGCGGTTTTTGTATCTTTTCTCAGAAATTAGATATTTTTTCGCGGTAAAAAGTATCCTATATGTTGACCCGGATAACCTGCTATCACCATACCAAATTTCATCAAAATCCCTCCAGTACTTTTTCTGTGATGCGGTAACAGATAGACAGACAAAAATTCTAAAAACTATAGATTCGGCCTCTATCGATAGTAATGTCTATTGAAATAGACATAAGGTTTTCCAAAAAATATTTAATGTACAGATTCGGCTCAGTTAGAATTTTATTATATGTATAGATAATAGTTTTAAATCTGATGTTTACCGGAAAAGGCAAACCGTACCGTATTTCTCAATTGAAAACAAAGAATATCGTTGAATTGAATGGACTTCCTTTTTAGAAATCCTTTATTTTGCAATTCGCTTACATCTAATGTTGACCTTACCTAGGCCTTATTAGTCTCGGATGTTCTTCCGCCTCTTGCAAATCGCATTATATCTGCATTTTTAAACTGATCGAGTAATGTTCCGTGTTTCAGAAGCTAAGTGTTGTATATGAATTTATGATACTTTATCGTTTTAATTTGATTTATTGCGTAAAATTAAACATGTGTTCAGTGCCGGATTTAACCTAAGCGCCGCCCCTGGACATTGTAAAAATGCCGCCCTATTATCGAAATTTTGAATAAAATGTTGAAAGTTTATTTTTTTTTTAATTATTATTTTTTTGAAAAAAAATGCAAAAAAATGTTTATAAATGATATCAATTTCTCAAATACCTTCTAGTTAATCTTTTTTTATTTAATACTGTCTTAGATTTACGCGAATACTTGACATTTTAAATAAAACTATCTTTTCGGAATTTTTCGCGAATTTATTTTGATTTTTGGTTCCCGACGTTTCTTTTTTTATTTCTCAATTTTTGTAAAATAAAAAAAGTATGTACGATTACGCGGAGAAAATTTTTTCCCACCCTCCGAATTTTGCCGCCCTTAAAAATTTGCTTTTCAACATAACTATGTGGTGGATTTAGATTAATTTTAGGAGCGATTTATCCAAGTTCTTAGTTCACAATCAATATGTAAGTAAAAATATTTTAAGCAGAACGTTCTAGAAATTAATTTTGGGAATGTACCTAATAAATTTTATTCAAGACACGATACAGATCTTATTTAGGTTAGGAGAGTAGTGCGCAATTACAGTATACAAAAATAAATTGCTTCACTACGTAAGTAAACATAATCGGCTTTGCTTGATTACTGCTAGCAAATATGGCTTCTCCACTCCACTCAACAAACTAGACTACAAAAGGTTATACCCTCGGCCTATATATAATATTTGAGGGTGGTGAGCAAAATTTAAATCAGTCGGCTTTTATTGATATCGAATGAGTTAGTAAGAGAGATGTGTACAAAGCAATCTAAAAAGTTCTATTTTTACAAGATTGAATTTGCAGAATTATATAGGTACTTGACAATTCACTATACCATCACACTATATTTGAATGACTTGGTCTTATAAATGGGGAAGTTCTGCCAATAATATTTATACACGAGTGGAAGCTTACAGTATTTATTACTGCAACCATAACTGTTCTAGTTTTAAAAGCTTAAAGTATAGAAAAATAATACTTTTAATATTTTAAAATCATTCGGTGCGCCGAATATAAGCCACCCCCACTCTTAAAGTGTTAATTAAAGTGTTTATCTAATAAAAAAGACATACGACTATTGGTTCACAATTGATGCAGATATCGCGTGACATGACAAACGCATAAAAAAACATACTGAATTGAGTAGAGTCCTTTCTTGAATCATTTGACATTAATAAAATCATTTTGCCGAGTCTTGCAAGCCGTTAAAACCAATATAAAATCTATAAAAAATATTATTTTATTTATAGGTAGGAATATAATTATATAATATATATCATTAAATAACTACATTTCCAAATAGTTTTAGATGAATATTAGTAGTTTTCTTCACATGCCTCAATAAATAGCATGATTTTGCTTGCGATCTGAGATGATTTTAACTTGTTTTAGCATATACAGTAGTATAATGTGGCAGGTAAATTAACTTTACTGCATCCGCCACATGCGTTTGACGGTAATATTTTATCACATAATTGCAATTTCCAGCGGATATGTAGGTGCCTGTATAAAAACGACGTAATTTTTTATAGTGTTAAAATTTTATCATTTACTATTTTTAAAAGACTTTAAAAAGGAGGTTCTATGTTCATGTTGCAAGGTTTTTATAATTTAATTTAATCTTTTTTTGAACAAGAGTTATCTATTTCTTTCTTCCACATAAATAATATTGCCTGTCCTGGCTGATTCATTAAATACCAGATCAGACTAATATGCGCCAAACTAAACAATTGTGTACCTATAGTTAAAAAAAATGTTATTTTTAAAAACTTTTATAGTAATTTTTAGTGTTAGCCAGACTTTAAATGTTCCACCCACAACATATGCCCCGACGATATGATGTATCCTTATATGGTTGCGCGTAAGATATTACGTATTATTCCACATAACATACTATTTCATAATAACCTTTAGCAACTTGACTTATTCGCTATGAGTGAAAGTCTACGTTTCAACGATCTTGTGGAGTAAGAATTTGTAAATTTAAAAAACTAATCACTCATTAAACACTGTACATAGACTGTACAACTAACACATTAAAAGTAGGTGTATTAGTTTGTACTAGCGGCTCATCCTATCCCACGGGAACCGTACATTTTTCCGGGATGAAAAGCCTATGTGTTATTCCAGACTATAACTCTGTGCCAAATTTCATCCAGATCCATTCAGCCGTTCTAGCGTGAAAGAGTAACAAACATCCATACTCACAAAATTTCACATTTATAATATTTATTATTATTATACAGATGATCATAATACGAAAACAACAAAGAGCGTAATATAGTTCAAAATTAAACATAACTGATCATCAAAGTTGTAACAACGATCATCACTATCCATCCGTATCTATAAACATCAATATCCCCATGAAGTTATGATCCAAACCCTGTGTTTAGAAAATTTAAAAACAAATATCCAACAATAAATAAGAAGAACATGTAAAATTTTAAGAGGTCGCAGTAGGAGGTAATGGTTGATTCATTATAAATAGACTCGCTAAGCTATTTTAGTCCTTGTGTAGGTGTACTATGTCTCATCCTTGAATGCGTTTAATTTTGATCATATCGTCACTTTCCGTTTTGGCAACGATTACCGTAAACATGGTAGCTGCCAAGATTTAAAAGGAAATAAAAGGAAAATAACAACACACGAATAATATTTTTATTTCGCTGTTGTTTGCTCTATATCCATAAAAGGTATTGAAAATGTCATTGGCCCGATCCTAATTTTTAATCATATTACTGAAAAGAACGTGCGTAGTCTGCAAATTTAGGGGGATTTTTTACATATATGCTATACCTACTCTCTTAAAATAAAAGTTTTGAATTTTTATAGTATTAATCTCTGTTAATTTATATCGAAATCGGTTTAGCATTTTGGCTTTAAAATGTAACAAACTGATGTACTCGTATTTTAGTAAGAATTACTGTGATAGGTACTATATTATACTTTTTTTTTTCAGGGTATTCGCCATGGTGGTTGAAGCAAATCCCATTGTTGAAAACCGCACAGATGGTAAATATTTTTCTGAGTCGTATATTTGAATTCAAAACCATTTTTATATATTGTTTTTAGTGCTATAATTTAAAATTATTATAAAATAATTTACAATAAGCATATCACGTTTTGTTTTTTTATAAATGGGCATATTTTATTTTAGAGTCTTAAACTTGATATATCTATCTTGTAATTTATATTTAATGTACAAGAAAATTAACCTGAAACACATTAGGTGCCTATCTTATATAATAAGTTAGTATCGAGGCCGAAATTCCAATCGACTAGTGACCTTTAAGGCTTTACGTCTGTAATTACCTTTTAAACCTTCAATTTTTAAGTTCTCGCTACACTGTCATAACTCGTATTGTAATATACTATAAAAAATTAAGCCCTTTTTGTGTGTCACTTATAAAATGCATCCGATGTTTTAGCATAGCAACACAGCATCCAAGATTCTTTCTCCAGATTTAAATATTTAAAACAAAACCTACGACATGACAAGTCCTTATCGAGTTGAATTACTCAAAGCGCTGTTTATTAATTATATTATAACTTAACTTTTTTTTATTTGTATACTATGAAAATATATACTTCTATCGTATATAGAACGTACATAGTTTTTATCTGGATTCTAGTCTAACACAGTTTTTTAATCTGCTCCGAAGCCAAAATAAACGCATCCCACTTTCGCCCACATAAAGTCGTTGCCCTAAATAATATGTAATACCTAAAAATATCTAGCAGAGTTACATTTTGCTTAATTTTTAACACACTTTTATAAGTAAGTTAAATCTGTATCTCCATCTAGTAATGGAGGTAGGAGATGTATAGTATAACTCTTCCATGGATACTTGTAAATACTTCGAGTATAGGCTCATTCGATTAATCTTGTGGTGTCGGCCAATTAAATTTAATAGCAAACAATATAAACCTAAGCTAATGTATGTTCCAGCAGTAAAAAGTATCATATACGTTGACCCGGATAACCAGCTATCAACATACCAAATTTCATCAAAATCTGTCCAGTGGGTTACTCGTGATGCGTTTCCACACAGACAAACAAAAATTCTAAAAACTATAGATTCGGCCTCTGTATCGATAATGACTATTTCGATAAAATTTTCCAAAAAATATTTTATGTACAGATTTGACTCAGAATTTTATTATATGTATAGAAATAGGTATTATTACTCAATTGCTAAGGTACGTGAAGAATGAGCTGTTCGGAAACGTACATTTATATTACACAAATAGTGTTACTTCATCATGTTACCATGTTACAAGTTAACTCAATTTCTAACTCAATTTCTAAAAATAATTAATTGAAAAAGTACATTAGAATAAAACAATATTTAATAAAATATTGTAAAGCAAAAATTAAGTAAAGTTGGATAACATCGTACGCAAGCCCATTGGAGCATGGGTCTATTCACATCAATCACATCCTGCCCGCGCTTCATTGCGTCCATTGTCTACTATCAAAGGCCCCCTAGTACTCTGTGTGTTATAGATATATACTCTGTATATAGACTTGATCTAACATAATGAAATAAAGTATGCTCCTACAATGGTTTTTCAGTTTTCATAATATAATGAAGAAGTATGAAAGACGAAGTAGAAGGATAATCATTTTATACTACACGTTAGCAAGAATCTGAATCTAAATACGAGCAGTACTTGAGATAAAATAGAAATGTAACTAAAGACCAAAAAATGATACCAAATTTTTATATCAAAATTATTATCATATATTATACTAGCGACTCAACCTCACTTCGCTCGGATTCGTTCCCAGCTTGATTCTCCTTACAAACTTTCGTCCCCATTTTCACCCCCTTAAGGGATGATTTCCGGGATAAAAAATATCCTATGTCCTTCCCAAGGTTTCAAACTATCTTCTTACCAAATTCCATCTAAATTGGTTCAGTAGATCCAGAGATTACCCCCCACAACCTCACAAACTCACAAAATAACAAACTTTACCTCTTTATAATATTAGTATAGATAATAGCTTTACAAATTGGTACATGTAACACGGTAAACCTTAGGACTCAAATATGAGGCGTGAATTAAATAAATGTACATAAATGACATGAGCATACATTTTTTCGTAGCTTTACATAATATCAATAATTATTCTAAAATCTAACCTTTTTTTTAAATAACTAGAACGAATCGATTTGTGGACATCGAATGACGAGTGTTTTGGCACTGGCGTTTGCCTATAATAATATTTTGAAGTCATGTTTGAACAACGCACTGTGTAAAGGACGACGAGTTTTAAAAATATCTACAAACAATCTGTATATTATTGTACAACGTATGATGCATAACGAAAAACATGAGTCAAAGAAAAGAGCTTTGGAGAAAAATAATAATTCTACCAGAGCTATAAAAGAATAATAGTTATGTATAGTGATCAGATGACCTAAAACCAAATTCTTATGTTTTACTTATTAGTATACTCTTACATTGCAGTTTTTGTATTTTTCTCAGAAATGAAATTTTTTTTCCGCAGTAAAAAGTATCCTATATGTTGACCCGGATAACCAGATATCATCATACAAAATTTCATCAAAATCTATCCAGTGGTTTTCCCGTGATGCGGTAACAGACAGACAGACTAAAATTCTAAAAACTATAGATTCGGCCTCTGTATCGATAATAAAGTCTATTTCAATAAGATTTTCTAAAAAATATTCAATGTACAGGCTTAGTTACAATTTTATTATATGTATAGATTAGTACCAAATTGGTTATCAAACGCAATTAATACAAGTTTTGCCGCAGCACACTGTACGTCGACCTTGAAATATGGAAATAAATGAACCTACGCGTGCCTTACGAGTATGTTACAAAGTGACAATTTATATCAAAAACTAAATGGCTTTAAAAAAAACCTAACGCGAAGTTTTTAATACTATTCAGGAGCAGGTACATATGAATCAATAAGTTACGATACGCGTTGTCATTTGGGAGCCGACTCGCCATACTTTCCGGCTAAACCCTTTACCTTCTGATTTTATACATACATACCGTACTTATACTATCTAAGTTTACGAATATTAGTTGATAATAATTTGATTATCTTTCGGAGCAACTGATTGACGTGATATAATTTATAGGCCGGGATGTGACCGAGGCTATTTTTATCCCTTATATTACTTTCTTAGACATTTACGAGTATAATATTTTTTATAATCTTAAATATCTTTCAATATATAATATTAGCACAAGTTTTGGAAAAAAACACTCATAAAACGAAAATATAATAATATTATTAGAGCAACATTTTTTAACATTGTTCCAGATAGAGTACACAGTTCGTCTTTAAGGCCGAGAGCTGGCGGCGACATCATTCCAGAACGTTCCGTTGGTACCCTCGACTTAAACATGTCATATTCAGCGCCCTCCAACTTAGTTCTTACGCCGGCACCTGAATGTAAGTGACAGTAATATAACAAATATATGATAAGATTTTATATTTTTTTTATGTTTTAACTATTATAAAACTCAGAAAAAAGGTAAAACGAAAGGAAAAATGTTTGGTACCCCAAACTAAGATGATGAGATAGACTTAGACGTATAGATTAAAGAACCATAATTAAAGCTAAAGGAAGCTGTCAATATTACGACAGTCGAATATACTTTAAATATCAAACTCATAATTATTGTTAAAAATTACTGATGTATGTTGGCATAATTCATTCATTTTGCTTTTTATGGTATTATAAACATATTATTGTTTATTATTTCAGGCTTCAATCATTATCTGCACTCACTATCTCTACTTTTCCTTAGTTTTGGCCTACCAATATATTTAATTAAGTATTGTTATATATTTAGTCCCTATAAATACTTTCTAGTTTTGTAACGAAATTAATAATGAATATTTGATGTCTCCTTTATCGATAGTATCCTTTGTATTGTTTGTGTGTAATATTGTCAAATATTTTCTTTAGTTTATTATAAAACGTTATTGTAAACACAGATAAAAGAAAATTACAATATGCAAAAATCGCAATGGGGGCCACCAAGTCATGGAATAAAACGCGACTAGTTACACTAGAACAGTTTTTCTTTTAATTACTTACTAATGATATATTGAAATTTAACAAACACAGGAACGTCTACTTTTGAAATAATATTACATATACACATTACCCGTACAACAAAGCCAAGTGTTACCATAATCTCCTTGAGAATATATAAATAATTAATTTCTTAGGTCGCAAGCTTTCCAGAGGGATATCGAGGGCGACGGATAATGAAGGGCTTGTGTGGGCGCTACGTAGCAACACCGAGCCCGAGCCTAATACTCTATCCTCCGATCACATCCTCTTGTTACCGGATATATCAGTATATCCACCGGATTTCAGGTGAGTTTATTGTTCTTTTTATTGGACAAAGTTTTTTTTTTGTCTAGTGTTTGATTTCTCAGCAAGTTTTTTAAATAGGTACCTACATACTTACAAATTTTATTAGAGCCATCCAGCCAGCCATTAACATTGTAAGATATAAAATGTAAGTATTATTTTATTTAACATTAGCAACTATATACATATTATGTATAATGTATCAAATCAAAATATTTTATTCAGCATTAAATTATTACAATTTTTTACTGAACGTCATGAGTCTACTACCAGTTCGGAAAGAAGAATCCTCAGACCTGAGAAGAACTGGCGACATATATATCTACATATATATTGTAAACTACCTAGGCTCGCATCTTTATTTATTTTTAGTCTGTACGCATTAAAATGACCTCTGCATTGTGTAGGCGCGCAGATCATAAATCGTAATGAAACTTAACTATTTTACAATTTTTAAGATTGCTGCATGTAAAAACTTAAATTCCTTCTAACTTAAATTAATAAAAATACCTGAAATTTATAAATTTAATTCCTATTCCATATATAAGGAATAAATATAAGAAGCACATATTTAAATTATATACATAAATATTATTCTCGCTGGGTAGTACAAATCTTATATCTTAAAGTAACAAAGCACTCTTGAAACAATATATATATATTCCGAAACGTACTTGTCATTATTGGCCTCTAGCTTGTTAAGACACGTAAAAGTAATGATAAAAACTATAAAGTGTGTAATGTTAGTCTCTAGAAAGTGAACAATGATAGATATAGAGGGTGCTTACGTCACATTTCAAATAACTCCCAATACAGGACAGTGCATGATAGGTTCTATCATAAAATATGTTTGCAAACGGAGAGGATAGAGAGATAAATAATTAATTAAATAAATATGTTGGGACATTAACACACAGCACCATCTAGTTCCATGGTAAGCTACGAGGTTTGTGTTATGGATACCAGGTAGTTGATACATTACACATATATAACTTTAAATACATATACATATATAATAAATATAAACAGCCATGACTGGAGTGCAGACATTCGTGCTCATCACACAAATGAATGCCCCCAGCGGGACTCGAACTCGCGACCGTTGGCACAGCGAGTAGGGTCACTACAAACTGAGCCAAATGTGTCGTTAAGATATTCCTTAGCATTACGAAAAGTACTGTGAAGCACTCTTTTTCCAAGTGATAAAGGAAGGAATAAATACTTGATATACTCGTAAATAGGCAAAATAAAGCCATCAAAAATGCGAAATTTTACGGGACATGTTTTAATAATGACCCCATGAAAGTAACACGAATGTGAAAAGAGTATAATAATTGCTTGACATTCGTTCTCTCTCTCTCTCTGACTATGGGTGAAGTGTATACATACGTAGACAAATATGTATTCTTTACTCGTCTTCATTTAAGATTCGTCGTTTAAACCTAATAATATAAAATAGACGAGACGGAAAAAAAATCTATATAGGTACATACTATTGACTTGGATATATCGCCCAAACGCTTAAAATACATATCTCTATTTTCAACTACTTAAAACTTTTTTGTCTTAATACTTATATTGTTAAAATACACAGAGTACGAACCTTATTGCTAGCATGATTTCATACATGTAGACATTCGCGAGTCACTTATAGCCGGGATTTTTCTCGACTCTCTGGAACAAGTCACCGTGACATTGCTATACTCACACGTGTCTCGGCAAAATGCCAATCCCACTAAAACACTCAATGGTTCTTAAATTTCTATCTGATACACAATCTGGCCATGTCATGTGTTATTATTGATTATAGATATTGAATTACTGTTAGTGTATAGCTGACATTGTTAAACGATTTCATGTAGAAACCTATATGGTGTTCAAATAAGTAAAAAAAAATCTATACAGATTAATAAAATTGAAGTGTCTTTTTGTAATGTCAAAATAACAGCTCTTTACTAAATGCGTATGATAGTATATACGGTACTTATAAGAAAACAACAATTTTTAATTTTTTTATCTATCTGTTTGTTCCGACTAATTTCCGAAAGTGGACTGAATTTGATGGGATTTTCACTGGTAGATAGCTGATGTTATAAGGAGTAACTTAGACTTACTTTTATTTGGGAAAAAGAATCAGGGCTCCGCGCAAAATACGCACCCGATCGAAGCGAGTGTAAGTCGCTAGTATTAAATATAAATTAAAGTTAACATTATAATATGTACATGGAATAGTAATAAAGGAGGCTATGAACGTTTTCGAAATAATTTTTTTTATATACATTTATCGATATATATTTGTACGTCATATATTTTTGTAATAAATTATAAGTAGGTATTGGTTTCCATTAGTGTCTAACCACTAGAATCAATGCGGTCCTTCAAATATAAATGTTTGGCGCTCCCTACATTTTCAGTCATTGAACCTGTCAACCTTTCATTCTTTCAACCTTTAGTAATCGAAGCTTAAGAATTTGTGGTCATTGCGAAAAAATACAGTCACGCAAGCCTTTTCAGTACCTGCCAGACGTACATTAGTTTTTTAGGTAAATCTATACATATAATAAATATTTTTTTGAGAAATCTTATTGACATAGACATTATTCTCGATACAGAGGCCGAATCTATAGTTTTTAATTTTTTTGTCTATCTGTCATCTGTGGGAAAACCACTGGAGGGATTTTGATGAAATTCGGTATGATGATAGCTTATTTATATAGATTATACTATATACATACTTATGATAGATTGGTTATCCGGGTCAACATATAGGATACTTTTTACCGCGGGAAAATATCTCATTTCTGAGAAAAAATACAAAAACTGCAATGTAAGAGTATACTAAAATGTAAAACCTAAGAATCTGGTTTTTGGTCATCTGAACGCGGGCGGAGCCGCGGGCAATGCTAGTACATTATAAAATAACAATAGGAAAAAGTGTCAATGTACTTCTATAGAATGTGAATATTGTATGCAAAATAAGTCTAATGTTTTAGAATAACGCTTTGTAACGTTATTCGCTTTCATGAGTATTGTATTTCATTACGCTGTCTCGTTGTTTAGATTTGGGTCATATCTTGTGTACTATAATAAAATTGTAACTAAGCCGAATCTGTACATTAACTATTTTTTCTAAAATCTTATTGAAATAAACATTATTATCGATACAGAGGCCGAATCTATACTTTTTAGAACTTTTGTCTGTCTGTTACCGCATCACAGAAAAATCACTGGAGGGATTTTGATGAAATTTGGTATAGTGATATCTGGTTATTCGGGTCAACATATAGGATACATTTTACCGCGGGAAAATGTCTCATTTCTGAGAAAAAATACAAAAACTGAAATGTAAGAGTATACTAATATGTAAAACCTAAGAATTTGGTTTTTGTCACCTGAACGCGGGCGGAGCCGCGGCCAATGCTAGTAAATACCTATAACTAAAGTTTAAATATAACTTTCTCACATTGTTCCATATTCTAATAATAAGAGTAGAAGTAAAGATTTATAAAAAACTGTGTGGTTTCGACTAAATTAATGGAAAAAGTTTATATTGATATCCCACTGCTGGGTATTAATAAAAAGAATTCTCGATATTGTTCAGCTAGATTTTGCAATAGATTTATCCGTAGCAGATCCAAATATATCCTGGGCGCTGCTATAACAAGCGGAGGTCATGTTAGTTCATGTGAACTAAACAAAGAAATTATTATCTATACATCTATTTATACATACAGATAAATAAAATTGAAGTGTCTGTTTGTAATGTCAAAATAACAGTTTTTTTACTAAATGCATATAAAATTATTATACGGTATTTATAAGAAAAACACATTTTTTTTACATTTTTGTCTGTCTGTCTGTTTTATTTGTTCCGGCTAATCTCCGAAACGGCTTGGCCGATTTAGACGGGACTTTCACCGGCAGGTAGGTGATGTTATAAGGAGTAACTTAGGCTACTTTTATTTCAATAAAATAATTAGGGTTCCGCTCAAAAAAATTAAAAAGTACCTTGGGACGAACCCGAGCGAAGCGAGGGTGACTCGCTAGTTATAACTATATTAAAAATATTCTTTCTTTAGGATATTTATCGAAAAAGACCTACTCGAAACAGCTACACTAGTGACACTCGAGTCCGCTAGTATTTTAAACTGGTGGCGTCACGGGCGAGTGCCGGGGGCTCCCCGGCTGTTGCCTCTCGCGACGTCTGGGGATGGGAACTGCCTGCCTCACGCTGCTTCATTGGCCGCCTACGGATTTCACGACAGATTATTAGCTTTACGAACGAAAGTACAGGCATTGCTTTCGGGGGAAGGTGGTGATGTACTTACACGTGAGTTATAACATTGATATTAATAATATTACTAATAAATTAATTAACCCTTCATATGCATGTAGTTATATCTATTTTTTATCAAACTTCATAAGTTTTGTTTCAGTATAATTTAAATGAATTTTGTACATCTTCATACATATAATAAAATTTTAACTGAGTGGAATCTGTACATTAAATATTTTGTGTCAAATTTTATTGGAATAGTCATTACATATTATTGATAAATCGATACAGAGGCCGAACCTATAGTTTTTAGATTTTTTGCTGATCTATTTGTCTGTCTGGGAACGCATCACGAGAAAACCACTGGACAGGTTTTGATGAAATTTGGTATGATTGCAGCTGGTTATCCGGGTTAACATTTAGTTTACTTTTTATTGCGGAAAAATATCTCATCTCTGAAAAATCTATACTAACCTTAAAACGTTGGGACGAACCCGAGCGAAGCGAGGGTGGATCGCTAGTCAATTATAAAATATGTAAATATACAAAATAATTATACAAAGTAATATAAATAAAATCGTAAAAATGTAATTCGTGTTTTATGTTTTATAAATTTTCATATAAAAAATACGACAAACGGTTCATATCGGAAATTCATATTATATTTCCTTTCTATACTCCAGGGGCAATAAAACGTCGTTGGCGTTGGTCTGAAAGCCTATCACTCAGGACTGCGGGTCTGACCCCGTCTGAGTCTGAGTGGGAGAGAGACTGGCACGACGCGGTGATAGCGGCTTCAGCCGAGCCCAGACCCAGACCGCAGCCAACCTCGGCCCCGCACTACACCGGTCTGGAGCAGCTCCACGTGTTCGCGTTAGCGCATGTTATGAAGCGGCCGGTCATTGTGTTCGCTGATGTGGCGTTACGGGTAAGTGATGTGGAATTTATATTCTGACTAACATTGCCCGCGGCTCCGCCCGCGTTCAGATGACCAAAAACCAAATCCTTAGGTTTTAGATATTAGTATAATACTCTTAAAATGCAGTTTTTGTATTTTTTCTCAGAAATTAGATATTTTCCCGCGGTAAAAAATATCCTTTATGTTGACCCGGATAACCAGCTATCACCATATATACCAAATTTCATGAAAATCCCTCCAGTGGTTTTTCTGTGATGCGGTAACTGACAGACAGACAGACAGACAAAAATTATAAAAACTATATATTCGGCCTCTGTATCGTTAATAATGTCTATTTTAATAAGATTTTCCAAAAAATATTTAATGTACAGATTCGGCTTAGTTACAATTTTATTATACGTATAGATAATGTGAACGTTTAGAAAAGTTTCAAGGTTTTTTTGCTAAGAAGATTAGTTAAAAATCTTTGAAATTTCTTATTTATTTTAAATTTTTGTAGGAGACAGTAAAACAAAGTGATGAATACTATATACTATAATAAAGAGGTAAAGTTCATTTGTATATATGGTATTTGGTAATCTCTGAAATTACTAAACTGATTCCAAAAATTCTTTCACTAATAGAAAATTACACTATCCCTGACGGATATATGTTATATTTTATTTTGGTTTCAAAAAGTTTTCAGTTTTAAATCTCAATATTTGCAATTTAAGTCAGAGTAAAATGCGTTAAATAACTGCTTTGCCGGCCTGCACTGGTCAAACCGTTGCCTATATATGAAAATAATGTTTATAATTAGGGACGAACCCGAGCGAAGCGAGGGTGAGTCGCTAGTGATATAAATTATAAGATTGAAATAGAACAGGTGTGGATCAATATTATTATATTTAAACATTATTTTCAAGTAGTCTTCTTCAAATATTAGTAGGTATATGGCAAAATATCAATAAAATCAAATACCAGCTTAGAGAGTGAGCTAAGCGGATGAGAACACTAGCCCACACTTATGTATGTCCGAGTATTTAACTTTTATTTTATTTATTTTGTAAATTGGAAAACAGACAGCATATATAAGTATAAAATGTAAAATACATCAGAAATAATACACTTAGCCAATAAAGTTTCCAATTATACATAAATATAACAGAGTAAACTTACTAACAATAAAATAAAAACACATATAAGTAAAATGTGTAGCTACAAAATAAAAAGAAATATATAAAAATAATATTTATCAAACTCTATTGTTTAATTATTATTTTTCATATACTAGTCAAAACAAAATTATCGAGTCACTTATGTACATATATGACATCCGGATTGATTTTATTATTTTGAAGGGCTCTTAAACTGCTAATTCTTTTGCGTGGAATTACCTTCAGTCATTAAACAAATTAATTACTGATTATTAAAATAATTATTAACCTTAACATACTATACATCTTGGGTAATTTTTGAAGCGGATATACTTAGATATTTTTAGTAAAAACTTGAATTTACCCTTTTTTTAAAGGGATTTTTAAGTCAATACAATAAGTGGGCAATTTTTGTGATGAGCTTAACATTTACTGGAATTTAAATATAATTTACGGTAAGTTAGAGCGTGAATAAACATTTTAACAGCGTTATGCCGATGATTCGCTTTATTTTCTTTTGACTAGTGCATAAAATATTTAAGTACATAATGCCAATACTATAAAAAATTGTAAAACATATAACTCTGTTCTAATGGGTTTTTATTTGCATGGTGGCCATTTTGAAGTTCGCCATCATAGTTTTTATTATTTGTTATAGTGGCAATAGAAATACACACTCTGTGAAAATGTCAATTCTACCTATTACGGTTCATGAACCGTAGTTTATTCTTAGTCTGTCAGAGCGCTGTATCTCAAGATACAGCGCTCTGACAGACAGACGGAAGAACAACAGATGCTTAGTTATAGAACCCTAAAAATCAACTAGGTCATAGCATATACAACGTGAGCGCCAGTGATCGGAATCTAAGTCAAGTTCACACTTGCCTATATTAGTGTCAATAAGAGGGTCAAGAACGCGTTAAACAGATTAAGTTATTTACTATATACAATCGTATTACGGTATTCTGATATGTCCTTATGAATAGATACTTATGTTACAATTACAGTGTTCATTTACTTAAGAGATTATTGTTAACTAGCTTTTGCCTGTTATCTCGGTCGCGTTAATTGTTTTTATTTAAAACTAGCGACTCACCCTCACTTCGCTCGGGTTCGTCCCTAGCTTGCTTCCCAATACAAACTTTCATCCCCATTCTCACTCCCTTAAGGGATGATTTCCGGGATAAAAACTATTTCATTCACTCACTTTTTATATCATGAGATTTAAAAAAAACTTATTTTAGTAAAAATATGTTTAGTTTTAATATTGTTATATTAAAACTTCCTGACAATAACAAATACAAAAAAAATAAGAATTATCTAATTTGGTGCAGTCGATCGGAAGTTATGCGCGCACATACATACATTTGTATTTATATATAGACTAGCGGCTTACCTTCGCTTCGCTCGGTTTCGCCTCTAGAAAAACAAATGTAAATCTATCACACGGGAACAGTGCAATTTTCCGGGATAAAAAGTAACCTATGTTTTATTCTGATGTATGAGCTACATTATTGTAAAGTTTCATTAAAATCCATTCAGTAGTTTTTGCGTGAAAGAGTAACAAACATACATCTATACATCCTCACAAACATTCGCATTCATAATATTAATATAGATGTCAAATAACCGCGTAACTTTACGAAAGTATTATGTAAACCCATTAATGTCATATAGAATTTACATACTTTTACTACTTTTCTCATACGCTTTTTATATTTGCACAAAATATGTTTCGTTGTTGGACTGGTTCAACTGTTTGACCTTGAATATTTAACAAACAAACACACTCGCAAACTTCATTCCAAGTTAGATAAACTGATTGATAATTATTTTTTTATCCGTTCTATCTTGCTTTTACTGTCAGCTGTTATGATAACGATCGTTTGACCACGTACAACATGTTTGCCTATTGAATTGTTAATAATAATATCTATAAAACCCTTTAATTTAACACCTAAAAACAAAAGAAAATAAACACAGATTCGTTATTTTCCCTTCTTTTACGATGCAACGGATTGGCGTGATTCTTTTAACAAATGGGTGGCAGGACATAGGGTAATTTTTACCTTGGTACATTAACTGGATCTCCTATCTATCGCAAAATTGGCTAAGAGAGTACTTCATCACATGTACATATATTATAAAAATCCACCTTATACCTATTTTTTCATCCATCCCAGGATTTCCGAGGGGATCCGATAGCACCAATACCATTTGGTGGGATCTATCTACCCCTGGAGTTAGAACCGGAGTTATGTAGTAAGGCTCCGATACTATTGGCATACGACGCAGGACACTTCTCTGCCTTGGTCCCTTGCGAGCCGCTGCCCACTGACGGGGCAAGAGTCCCTCTAGAAGACCAAACTGGAAATCCAATGCCTATACGGTAAGTTAAAATTATGGATGACACATTTATAAAACATCCTATATTTAATATCGAAGTATTTATTACTAAATTTAAAGTTAAAACTTAATATCATAATTTGAATTGAATTAACAACATAATAAATGTAAAATAAATTTATAATTAAAGCCACTTCCAGTATTCTTATTCCGAATTCTAATCCATAAAATAGTTTGTATTACCCGCAAAATATATTTTATTTTTTATCTTATATATAAAATTTCCATGTCATAATGTTAGTTACCGTACTCCTCCGAAACGGCTTTACCGATTTTTACCAAATTTTATATGCGTATTCAGTAGGTTTGAGAATCGGCTACTATCTATTTTCCATACCCCTAAGTGATAAGGATAAGGGTGGTCCTCCCAGACCCCACCCTAGGGACGAACCCGAGCGGAGCGAGGGTGAGTCGCTAGTATAAGTATAAGCTGCCCGTTTACAATGTTACCAGACGTAAAACTAATGTTTCTCAGTAAGTGAACTCTTTTGAGAAATAAATGAATCTTAAACCTCATATATTTGCTTCTATGGGGTAGCTCTAGGTGTCTTAGAGCTATTGGTAAAATAAATTGTACAAAATTTTTTACAAAATTTTAGACCTCTTCTCTTCTCCATAATCTTTAGCTTTTTTCTGAAACCAATAGTATAACCAGTTCTAAAACCTATAAATTCAAAGAGTATAAAGTATAATGTAACTGGCCAACACGCAAGAACGTGTTAATTCTTTTATTTCTGATGTACCAAATTAACTAAAATAGCTATGTGATGTCAAAGTTCACGGCCTGCAGGTTTTGTTTCAGATAATATTAATGCGTATGTAAAGTGGACAGTTGCAAGAATAAAAAAAATAATTTCATACGAAATAGCTGAGATGTCTCGTGATAATATTTTAACGACATGACGGCAGTACTATTTTTGATAAGACGTCTTCTACGTCATAAGTCGTAGATTTGATGTTTTTGATGAAGAGATAATTGTATTTATACAAAAAATTTGACCAAGTAAAATTTTTATACTATTGACTTACTCTCGCTTTACTCGCGTCCATCCACGTCCCTACGTGTCGAATATAATCCTATGTGTTACTCCAGATGATAGTGTACTTGTTTATTCAAATATTATAAAGAGGAAAAATTTGTTTTTGTATTTATCTGTTTGTTTGTATCCAATAGGCACCGAAACTACTGAACCGATTTAGATGTAATTTAATGAGAAGATAGTTTGAGACCCTGGGAAGGACATAGGTTTTTATCCCGGAAATCATCCCTTAAGGGGTGAAATTGGTACCTCCATTATCACTTATTAACCCCACCAAAGTTTGTGCTTTCCCATGAAAGCAACCTTGGGACGAACCCGAGCGAAACCAGGGTGAGACTAGTGTACTATAATTTCATCGAAATAAAGTCTTAATGCGTAATGAATGAAGCGTGTAGATAATTCACATTTATAATACTAGCCGATTAATTTGATTTTCAACTATTGCCAGATTCAACGTAGATCCGGGCGAAGATTTCAAATGGGATACAGAACCTGACCAAAAAACCATAAACAATTTGCTGCCAGACGAATACCAAAGATCTGCCATGTTAGCTGCTTATTTAGACCTTGAAAGAGTCGAATGTTTAACGCAAAGCCAGCCTCCAGAAGAACTAAGAAGATCCCTAGATGCGCTATCGGCCAAAAGCTCAAAGCAGCTTAACTCAGTAGCCAAACAATTTGGAAGTATTGGCAGATCAATGAGTAGCAAATTGAAGAAGAATTTCGGATCGATGGCCAAATTAGGTAAATCTGGAAGTCAGAGTAATCCAGAAGAAGGGATAATAAGGCGGCAGTCGACTTGTGAGGTTTTGTGTTGCAGAGTGCTGGCGGCGCGGGCGCCGGTGCAGGAGGAGATGGTCAAAAATTACTTAAACGAGGCTTGGATTGGGTGAGAGAAATTAAAATATTATATTATTAATATGTAAAATTGACGTATCAAGATGTTGGTCCGCGATGAACTCCAAAATTACTTAACGTTTCTGAACGTACTTTTTTATTTGTTATTTATTCCAAAAATAGGATAATTTTTATCCCGATTATTTCCTTTTTTTTTCATTGCAAAATTAACGATTTTCATATGTGTGCCACAGCAGCGCGTGGCCGGGTCAGCTAGTATGTTACATTTTATTGTTTAGTTTTTTAATAAGACTTAAGTTAATAGTTACTTTCGTAGATTTACACGAATATTTGACATTTTAAATAAAACGCATGTTTTCGGATTTTTCCGCGGATTTATTTTGATTTTTGGTTTCCGACGTTTCGAATGCTTTACAGCAAAAGTATATGAAATGTGTATTAATTACCCTTAAAGTAATTTCAATTTTACAAATGGATTTCTTTAATTTATCGGGTTATCCTTAAAGTAAAGTTGTTCATTTTAAAACAACAACAAAAATCGACTCACAAGTATAACAGCCTTAAAAAAAGATACAATCAAATTAAATAAACCTCTTTTTTCGTAGTTGGTTAATAATCAATGACATTCCAGGTATACAGCAGAAAAGAACAGAAAAGAAGAAAGCAGTCAGCCTTCACAACCTAGGTATGGCACGGGTCGGTCGCAGTTCTATGCTGAAGCAGATAGAAATGCACATGAAAGTGCAAGAACATTGGCAGCTAAACCCGTCAAACCTGCACAGGATCGAACCTTGTACCTTTCCAAGTCAACTTTCTATGACGACCGTCCCCCATCACCGAAACCATGTAGAGCCCCGCTTTGTATGTACTATGGAAGTCCGGAAAATAACGATTACTGTTCTAGATGTGCTAAGTTACAGTAAGTGCTTTTTATAAGCCTCATTTTCATAGAATTACGCTTCTTTGAATCGAATTTGAAGGAATAGAAAAGGTAATGTAAATTGAACCATATGTATTAATATATAAGGTACAGTTTAGATTAAAAAATAGCAATGTAGTTACATTGAAAAAAAATTCGATATGAATTGTTTGAAGGCGAGAGATTAGCCTTTTCAGAGCCTTAACATTGGATTATATGCAATATATGTATTATATGTATGTATATTCTTTTAGTTGATATTTTTTAAGTTGTGTTAATAATTAAGTGGTATTACTATATGTAATAAATATTTTAACTTTTTTATTTTAGTTGAATTTTTTTTATTATTTTAAAATAATATTGTTTTAGTAGTCTCTACGTCATTTTTTAATATAGTTGATGATATTTATAATTATACAGAAACACTGAATAAATAAAGAAAATAGTGTCTTTAAAATTTGACTATTTTTGTAATATCAATCGAGCTAATTACATATAATCTAATGTCTCGTCCTTAGCATTGTAGTGGTAGTTATATCTTTGGTACTTATTAAAATAGTTACAGAATCTTTGAAGATATTAAAATTAAAAAGTATTTTGCTCTCGTTAAATTTTACATCTTTTTTTCATAAGCAACTGTTAAAACTGATATTTTACTTAATTAACTATAAGTTAATATTACATATGGACGTACAAATTATAACTATAATATTGTTATATAGATATAAATAATAATATCTTTGACTAAATAATTTAACGAGAGGAATGAATATTCAAATTATTTCTTACATTCTCTGAAGCACTTTTTTCTTTTCCAGTTATAATAGCGTGTGCTTCCAATTTAATACGTAGAAGGTGTAGTGTATCGCGACGTGATAATTTTGATACTTATGTAAAAATTATATTTAAATTAACGTTAAAAGAAAATAATATAATTATCCTGGTATTATTAGAAGTTATATATAGAAATTATAATATTTTTCGAGTTCTTTCAATTAGGAATACTCCAATACATAGACTACAATGCGAACTTACATACAAGGGTGATTATGAATGACTTACATAATTTATTTTGTATATAAATTAACGGAAAAATCAAATAAATAAATTGTTAAAAAATATTATTAAGTCCTAAACCATCTAAGTTTTTCTATACATTAAAATTATTTCAAATTTTCCATATTACATTATAGTGAAATCATTCATATGTCCCCATGCAAAAGTAAAAAGAAATATTTTTATAACTATTATATTAAATATATACTAGGGAGTTGGTATCTGTCCCGTCGGTGCCTGCTGGTTGAAACTTTTTGATGAGCATTGATAAAATTGTGGGTTGTATTATAACGTGTTTTCCCGTGGGAATGAGATAATTTCCCGCGGTAAAAAGTAGCCTATGTCATTCTCCAGTCCTCCAACTATCTACACACAAAAACCACGCAAATCCACTCTGTTTCGACGTGAAGGACAAACAAACAAATACACTTTCACATTTATAATATTAGTATGGATTTACAAAAAAAGTAATCTCATTAAAATTTACATATTTTTCAATAATATTTTAAACTCTTGATTTTTTTCTAATTTTTAACATAGTTTTTTATTATATTTATCAGCCCATGAATTTATAGAAAATTTATTTTTAATATTATAATGGAGCATGGTGTTGTGTGTTGTGTATGGTGCAAAATTGATTGTTTTAGTGAGATAAAAATTACAATAGTCTTAATTCTTAATTTTACTATATTTTATGAAACAAAAATAATGATGTAATAAAATATGAATTTTTGCCCCCTTCTTTATTCCATTTTTTTATTTCTACTCCAAGTTCGTTAACCGTTAAAATACTAATTCGAGGTACCATCGTTTGAGAAACTGCGTGGAATTCTGAACAGAAATAGTCCCGGAGATTGGATAGGCATCTTGAGATGACAATAAAATTAAGTTGGTTTGATTATTTGTACCGTTCGTGGTGTCGCTTAAACACTTAAACTATTAACTAATATTATCCATGTATTCTTATGTATGTTTAATTTTATTTTAATATGTCCATCAAAAGTTCTCAATCAGCATCCAAAAGTTCAAGTCCTAATTTAGTCATAAATCATAATTGATATTAAACTTTAGGCTAAAAAAGTGTATTATTAGTGCTTTAAAAATTTAAAAATCGTAAGTAAAATCTTTAGTATTAATTAATACGGAAGAATTGTTAGAAAAGTGTTGATTAAAATTGTTAACTTAATGTAATTGCACGGTTGAAGTTAGGTAAGTTTCAAAAGAAATCATAAATACTTCCATATGTAATGACTAATGTTTGTAAATTAAATATATTAAAAAATAAAAATGTCAGTGTCCTTCGTTTTATCGAGTGCCAAGTTTTTTTTGTGCTGCCAGAATTTTAAATTAATCACGAACATTTTAAATAAAATACACTTATATATTGATAAATAAATTAGTAATCTTCCTTTTTAGATATCGGTTAAAATCCAATTATCATTTTTACCTGTTATTAAAAATTATATTTTATTTATTCAAAAATAGGACATGGCAACACTAATATCTAAATCGTTTTAAAATGCATCCTAATTAATAGTTATTAATAAATGTGTTCAAAATTTGGTATCAGGTGCTATTGAGCGAAATATAGATTGTTGAATATCTGTTATACCGAGTGTATAAATCGTAGTGACAATAAAATTACATGCATTCAAATAAAACTATCTTTTCGTATTTTTTCGCGGATTTATTTTGGTTTTGGGTTTCCGACGTTACGAATGCTTTACAGCAATCATGGTCAAGAATCTACATAAATCCGAAAAGATAGTTTTATTTAAAATGTCAAATATTCGGGTAAATCTAAGAAAGTATTACATACTTTAGTTTTTGTAAAAATTGTTCAAAAATTATGATATAATATTTAATAAAACTTTGTCATTCCATCAAAATAATCTGTAACAATGAGAACTAGAATGCTCTCATTATACAAAAAATATTTATAAATAAAATGGTATATTTTTATTAGATATTGCTGTCACAATAGAAATATTTTTGGCGTAAACCTAGAGTATGGACTGAGCAATACTGTCATGAAATTGACCATTCTCTAGAAAGAGAGAAAGCGAACGTGCGGCCAATACCTATCTTTTATTGCAATTTGAATTTATAAATAAAATTGAAAAAAAAATTTGTAATGGTAAAAATGTAAAATGATTAAAAATATCTATCTTAATTAATCGTATTTCAATGAATACAGAAAGACTTCTGGACGCACATTCAATTTGTTTGTCGCTTTTCTGCCATTTTCAACTACGGTTGGCAAAAAAAACAGTCCCCTCTCTACGTGTGATTTTTGGCCACAAAATACGATCATAGAAGTTTTCCAAACAGCAATACAATTTCTTTTGAACAATTATGAATTTCAAGGTGTTATTTTACATATTTTTTGATATAACAGCTCATAGTCAGGGTACTTATAACTTACCGTTTGGTTTCTTATATAAATAAAACGAGCTTGGAGGGAACTCCGTCCGTATTTGAAATTTTGTTAACCGTTTTGTACTTCTAGTCCCGTTTTCGTAGTTAAGTTATTTTATATTTAATTAAGTTCATTTAATATTAATTTTTAATATACAGGGTCATTTTTAATTTACTGATAACCTTTTGGGTATATACTATTTACATCATAACAACAACATCTGTAACAAGAAAAAAATATATTTCTTAAATTTTTATTTAAATACAAAAATAAAAATATTTTCATTGCACTTTCTAAACGGTAAAGTTCTAGCATCTGGCCAAGTTTAAATGAGTATGGGCCACTTCCTACACCCCTTCACCCCTTCTCCTCCACCGGTCACGCGCTTTCTTTTGCTAATTGCTGGACTTATCGTTTAGAAGGAGCAATAAAAATACTTTTATTTTTGTAAAATTTAACAAAAATTATATTTTTTTCTTACAGATGTTGTTGTTATGATGTAAACAGTATATTCCCAAAATTATTTCAATAAATTAAAAATGACCCTGTATAATCATTTTCTTACTAGAAATAATTTCCCACCCTTTTTTGTTAGTTACTTTCACTTAGTACTAATTGTTTTTTTTTTAATATTATCTTTCTAAACGTAAGGTACGACAGTGGATCTGTTTAGATTGTACCTACGTCCTTTCAGTCGAGTCAGTTGTTGAGGCTTTTTAGCCTTAGAGATCTGTTAATAGAAGTGAGATTACATGAAATAAGTATATTTTTAGCCAATTTATACTTAAAGCTATATGAACGTTACAGATGGTACTGTTTGTTATATTTTGTAATCCTACGGTCAGATACGGCATATCATGTTTTGTAGAAAATAAATGGTTAAGCAATTAATATTGTTTATAATTTTTACCTATATTTTATAACCTATTTGTGATATTTAATTCATTTTATTTAGATTTGATGTAACTTCCGATCTTTTTTGAATCCTGCAGACCGAAAATTGATTCGTCCATACTTTGAATTTTAATTTAATACTTCTAAAATTCAATTATTGCTTAAATTTATTCAATAGGCAGATTTTTTATGCCACACTAATAAAAAAGATCCTAATATGTTTATCCATAAGATATTCCTTTACATTAATATGAATACAAAATACTCTCAACATGGCAAGCAGATAAGTAAAGCACGAACTAACTTCGTATCTAATATGTATTTAAAACTAGCATTTTCCCGCGGCTCCGCTCAGGTTACTCTACATTACTGTATAGTTTCATCAAAATACGTTCAGCAGTTTTTACGTGAAAAAATAACAAAATTTCGCTTATAATATTAGCAGTAAACTAATTCAGTCCAGTTGAACATCTGGTTGCATTAATAATAATAACGTTAATGTAAAATAGTGTAAATAATACAAAAAAAATCGTCGGTTTTAAATATATTTTCATACTTTATTATCTTTTTTCAATACATACAGGTCCATGAGATTTACAAAGCGTAATCAGTGAATAAAGAGGAGTTAGCTACACATATAATGTATGTTCGTTTATATTTATTTATACATTTTATAAATGTAATATTTAGTATTAAAGCAGTCTCACTTATATATACATATTATACTCTATCGCTTCGTCTCGAGGCACACGATTTATTTACTAAAAGTAGGTGAATATTGCAGAGACGACAGTTTGTTTTAATATATAAGCACTCTGACATAAGAAAATAATGACAAATTATGATACACTCTCATCTTATCGTGGTGCTGAGACACGGTACTTGATTATAGAGGTCGCAGCTTCGATATATTCTGTATTGGTCAAATAAATGAAGGTAGTACTATAGAAACTGTTCCAGTACACATTTCTAATTTTTGTAAAATCAAAAAAATTACAAGACTTGTGAGTCTTGATACATATTATTTTTTTGCTTTTTTTAAAAACCATTACAAGGTATTACAACGATATTTTTACATAAATGTATTTTATGTATAGTGTACAGAACATTTCATACAAAATTCAGGGAATATCTAAGTCTCAAATGTTTGAAAATACATTACACAAAGATGATAACTGATGGATTATCAGAGCGAAAGTCTTATTAGTTTATAAAATGGTAAATTAACATCAATTCACAAATAATCCTTATGCTACAGTAACGCCAGCTGGCGATTTATAAAACGGTAAATATACACGCACAATTATTTACATTACATTGTACAACATTTATTAGAAATAAACTATGTATTATAAACATTGAACATTACTTTTCGAAGACGATTCCAATTTGGTTGACTGTGTTGGTTTTAAATCTTAATCAGAGTCCCTCTTGTACATGGCGTGTAATGTGTATTATTTGAATATGTAAAAGGATCACACTAGCGGTATAACACAGCACTTCACTGGTTGTTATTTACAATATACTTTAACACTGGCAAGTCTTTAATTTAACAGATACACACTGTATTCGGCGTAAGGTCACGAGTCCGGTATGATGTCGGCCTCGATAATTTCCAAATCTCAACTGTCCTGCCAATAGTTATAGTTACCAGACGGAGGAGGGACAGGCATGGGGGGAGCGTTGGGAGCAACTGCGGCAGAGTTGTAGGGAGAGCCCTGAGGTGACCCGTACCTTGGTCGGAACCATGGCCGACTTGTGTATTGGTACTGGTTGTTCGCATACGCGGCTAAGTTCTGCCCGGTGGCATTCGGATAGGGATTTTGCGTGCTTTGATTAGCATAGGCCACATTTGGCATGTTGGGTGCAGGGTATGTTTGGTTCGGCGCTGGGGTTGTTGACGGCGAAAAATTCGCTTGTGATGTATTTTGGGAACTTGAGGTCGTTTGTGAGTACGACTGCGTGGGGGTTTGAGGGTTAGACCCATTTGTAGGGTAGCTTGGAGGTTGACTGGTTGTCTGAGTACTGTTATAGTTTTGTGTACCGTTGCCATTAGTGCCGTTGCCATAACTTTGAGTCGCTTGATTGTTTGTATAAGTACCATTCGAGGTACCGTCGTTTGAGAAACTTTGAGTGGGATTCTGGACGGAAGTGGTCCCGGAGATTGGATAGGCATCTTGAGATGACGATGAAATGAAGTTGGTTTGGTTATTTGTACCGTTCGTGGTGTCGGTTTCAGAAGCTGTTGACTGTCCGTTACCGTTTGTAGGCGCAGGAGTAGTCGCTTGGTTTGGCATCGTGTACTGAACATTGGGATTCGTCGGCATAGTTATTGTACCAGAGTTTGCTTGCATTACGTACTGGGGCGGCATGCCCGCATATTGTGATGTCGGTGTAATGAAATTAGAATTTTGTTGCACAATTTGATGAACGGGAGGCGGTTGAGATGCGGATATTGCAGAGTTAGTCATGGGAGAGGATGGCGGGGCTTGGACTATTGGAATCGTTCCGGAAACAGTTAAATTAGAATTTGCCAACTGTTGTCCAGCTAAAGCTGCATTTAGCTGTTGCGTAGAAAGTTGGGTGTTGAGATTTAATCCCGGCATGTATTGGGAATTGGGCATGTTCATTGGCATCAATGGCACATTATATTGAACTCCGCCTGGCATCCCGAGTTGGTTCGGTTGCATGACTGTCACATTTTGTCCTGGCTGTAACATTTGCTGACTGATTAAACCTGGAGGCAGACCGCCTTGAACAAGGTTAGAATGATTTGTTGGTATCATATAAACTTGACTATTCGGCTGCCCAATTACTGTTGGCATCTGACTTATATTTAGTGGGTTTTGCAAAACGGTCATTCCTTGTGGGACCGTTATCATTTGAACGTTTTGTGTCGCGTTTTGCAATTTATTTGTTGTTAAGTCCTGCTTTTGACCATCTTTTGTCGACTGAATTTGTATGGCATTTCTGTCTATTTGTTTTATATACATTCCTGAACCATCTTGAGTCACCGATGAAGCTGAGACACTGAAAATATTAAATTAAATTAAATTGATGTTTATTTTGTAACTAACTCAATACTGATTTTAATCATAATTATATTCTTACTTAGTCTGCTGTCCTGATGATACATGTATGATAGTACCGTGGGCTGGGTTTATTTTCATTCCCATACTGACCATGGTGTTGTCCCTAGCTGTATGGGATGGTTTGGTTATGTCAATTAATTACATAAAATACCGTATCCATAGAGTAAAGCTGTCTAAAACAGCTATTAAAAAAAATCGAATAAAATAACATAAATAGATAAATAACGGGCAAATTATTTTGATTAATGTTTAACTATCTTCATTTTAGACACTTCAATCTACAGAGTACGGTTACATTACATAAAGCTTACGCTACGCAAGGGTACTACGCAATCGCACGTTTCATATATAAATAATATACAGTAGTTCATGCATTGTAGGTATGTATATAAATAATGGATGAACATGAAAATGACGCACTGCTTGAACAGGGCAAATCCTAAAAATTAAGATTTTATTAAAATTCTTCCAGCCATAATCTCGGCTGACGGAAATACTCTGGACCTAATTGAAAAAATAAACAAGAAAGTTAGAGAAGAGCAACCTATATAGTTGAACAATTAGAACTATTGAGGTCAATCAATCAGCCTTTCACCCTCCACTGCTGCTGAAATAAGGCCTCCAACAAATGAGCGCCAACCATCCCTGGGCAGCTCACATACTCCATCTAGCCGCCACCTTTCTTAGGTCATCAACCATCGTGCTGCAGGGCGTCCTCCACTACGCTTGCCTAAAAGCGGTTCTCCATTCTAGCACGTTTCGGCTCCATCGAAATAACTATTGAGGTGATATATGAAAAAAAAACACTACAAGATAATTTCAACTTGCTCCCACGTTCCGATGATATTCAAAAAATGATCAGGAAACATATCTGCTGCTTGGTGCCCTTAGAATTTTAACCTAAACTAATAGTAAAAAAGAAACGTTGTTTTGTCAATCGATGAAGAACAGCATAGAAGATCTCAGTCACTGCCTTAGAAGGTAATTGCTAAATATAAGTAGAAATAAGTAAATTAATCTATGAAGAACAATTCAGCTTCACAGAAGTTGACACTCCCCTTTGATTTTGTAAGAAAAAGATCTGAATTGTAGATAAAACAAAAGTTTTAATGGTTGTATAATATACGCAAAATGCTTATCTTTTTACGCTTATTTCTCTCGCGCTTTTCGTTTTTTTACGCTTTTTGTAAGGATTCATAAAATTAAATGACCCTGTAACAAATACGAATACTAAGTCCTTGTTGAAAAATTTCTGAGAAGTCGTGATGCAATAACAATAACCTGTGAAACATATATGAAAGTATGTGAATAATTGACAAATAGGCAAAAAGAAACATCTGCAGTAAATGTTACAGCAAGCACCCATCTCCAGTCGGTTTTTTACCCAAGTGTTGAAACAGAATCTAAACTACGAATTATGTAAATCTAGGAAAATTGATTTACGCCAAAAATTTTATGTTGGTAATTTTAATTTTCCCTAATTTCATTTCTATAATTTACGCTTAAAAATATAGAACTATTATTATAATATATTATTCTATTCAGCCTTTTTTAACATCCCACTGCTAGGCACAAGGATCCATTCAATACGAGGGAACCAGGCGATAGCCCACCACGTTGGCGAAGCGCGGGTTGGCGGACTTCACATGTCTTTCGAAAACTTGCTAGGTTCTCTCAGACTTGCAGGTTTCCTCACGATGTTTTCCGGCGACGATATTTTTTTATACTATTATTGTTTTTTGATAATTTTACTATGAATTTACGCTTTACGCCATTGCATTACACACATAATATCCATTTATAATGAATATATATAGATCGGTCTTTAAAAAAAATCTTGTCATATAAAAGAGGTTAAAAGTTAAGCCACAATGAAAGAGAAAACATGCAGTGTTGTTTTAAAGCTAATGGACCTGAAAATAGTATATAGAATTTCCAATGAAAGCTTGAGGATGCTGTAACATTAACATTTAAAAAGTTATTAGTAACTTGAAGAAACAGGGTCCACAAATATCTCAAACACAATCCAAATCGAGGTGACCTAAAAATGCTATAAAACTAGATATAAACATATTTTTTTTTAAATTGACATCACGTACGGTATCGGACACCTGAAATTAAATCGCTTCGCTTTTCTAAACACATGATGACGTTACATGATGATATTTCTACGCAACGCAATATTATTTCTACAAAATACTTTTTGGGGAACGGTTAGAAATAGGGAATTTTTGGACAATTTATATCCGAGTTATTTTTAAAATAAGAATATTAAAAATCATTTAGAGATCAAATGAAGAAGGAAATAGTTTATTCTGATTAAGTTTTTATTAAATAATCTCGTATATAAAATGTTCGTTCAATAAATCTTCAATATACCTGTAGAAGAAGTCCAAGATCGGGAATCTCTTGAGGAACTCTTGTCCTGGCTTACATGCGACCTGCGGCATCGTATCGTTTCAATACACACACAATGTTATACAAATCATAAAACAAAATAGTCCCTATCATGAAAAATTATATCTGAATTTAAAAATTTGCATGCAATAATTAAACCCTAATATGTGAGTGATTTGTCTTCGTTGCTTAATTCACTTTACAAATTAATGTTTGAAAATTATCTAGTAGTTATCTTTAATAAACGTATCTAATAATTTTGAAATGATACTGCAAAATCTGAATCCACTTTGGTCATAAAACACGTTGTCAGCCCTCTCGAAGTTTTAATTGCGACGTACACTAAATATTTTTTTAGAAACTCTTTAAAAATATATTAAAATCAAATAAATTAAAAAAAACGTGTAAAATGATCATGTTAATTTATTCAAGTATGAGATTCGTTGATCATAAGTAAAATTTCGAAAAATATTTAGCTTTTCGAGGAACCTGGAAGATTTTTCCTTTTATTAATATAAGTATTTCAAAAGAAATCGGAACTCACCCTGCAGGAGCAATAGGCCTTAATTGTAATTGGTTTGGCGTACCGTCTGATAGTCTCTTTTGACCTCGTGCTTCTTGACCAGAATTTTTTGTAGGAGTTGAGGAACTCTAAAACGTTTCAAAAATAAATTTGAATTTGCTAAATTTGAACATTTAAACTACATCGAAAAGCCCAAAAACCAAATTGATGGAAAGGCTAGAGATAACACAATAAAAATGACACGGGATTAAATGCATTGTAAGTTTGTACTAATCTAGTTTTTTTTTTTAATTTTCTTAAATTTTTGACATATCAGTAAACCATTTTCCCCCCTTTTTTAGACTTTGATCTTTATTATTAACATTCCACAATGAAAATAGTCCGATGTCTAATAAAAGATGTTACATTGACTAAGACGAAAGGACATTATTTGCAACAAAATAAGTATGTATGTACTGTGAAAGCTGAAAGGTATATAGCAAGAAACTGTCACATTAATAAAATATGCATTACAAATTTATTACAAACAAATTAAATGCAATGTTTTATAATTCTATAAATCAAATCAGTTATTTAATGTTTTTCAATCTGCTTTTGTAGTAAATATTTTTAGTCTTTAGATATATATAATGTAACAGAGTCTTCAATCTACACTTATGATAAAACGCAAATAAAAATTTCAATTAAAAGCCGACAATAAATGGGTAGAAAGAGTGGAAATTATATTAGTATGGTGAAATGCTAATGTAATATTTGCATTTGCTCACTGATATAATTTGTGGAGAGGATGCTTGACCACTTGAAATAATATTTATTAAGGATGCACTGCTTACTATTGGCTGTTAAAAATGTAAAGAAATTTTATTACATTCTTCCCAAACTTGAACACAATATTTACATGTATTACTGTTTTCCATTTAATTGAACTAAAACCAGGTAAATAAACCCAGACGACAACAAAAACTACCGAATAAAAGTGTAACAAAATTTGAATAACAACTCCTTACACTTCTGCTCTAAATATTTACCTATGTCATGAAATCTTAATTTACACTTATTTTGAATTTTTCAATGTGAATTTTCAATATTTTGCAAATTGTGCATAAATAACTCCTTGAAACACTAATAGGAATTTTATGTATTTTTTAATACATCTATATAATCATGCTCAATAGAACTGCCATTAAAAACCCCAATAATTTCTATTAAAAAGAAATATTTTAGTGAATAGTTGATTGACAACTAAAAAAACACAATTTTTTAATACTTTAAACAATTTGTCATTTCTTGCACTCTATACAATTATAAATATTGTATACAGTTATTTTAGTATTTAAAATCATAATTTACGAAATTGACATGATCAAAGAAAAAATATTATTTCTGCAAAAAATAAAGATGTCACTCCATAAATAAATATATAAAAATAGTGTTTTATGTTTACCTTTTGATTTAATTGCATAAATGTGCCAGTTGCTTGTAACTGTTGTAACTGTACTGCTGATAATGGCAGTGATGTTTGTTGAAAACTATTTGCAGGAGCGATCTGGAATAAATGAAATTAAAATGAAGTAATTTTTAGAATGTTTTCATCATATTGTCCCGTTTCTGTGTAAACCTCGTATCTACAAAATCTTAATTTTCAGTAAATCGATAAAAACGTTTAGTTACTTAATTTTCATAAAAAGTTATAACTAATTTAAAATTTATACTCTTTATTTATCACCTTAGAATAATTAAACATCATTTTTGCTATCTGCATCGATACCTTGTTGTTATTATCAATTTAACGTAGATACGAGTTTTTTCATCAAATACCCTGGTAACTTTATTGCAGATATGAGGTTTTGAAATTAATTTTTTTTTTCTATAAGATCATTGGCGAAAATTTTTTTTATGCAAGGCTTTCACATTCAATTCATTATTATTTTATATTTATTAATTAAAACAAATTCATTTGATTTTTATTTAATGTGTTATAAATCATATGATTACTATTTATAATATGATTTAATTATTTTTTTCAAATATGTTTACAATTTATTGAATAATGTACAAATTAACAGCAGGATAATCTGAAAAATAAGTAATAAGAAATAACTTGAACAATAATTTTATTTCTTATTTACTTGATGTGAAATAAAAATTCAATAAATGATTTTTATTTAAAAAAAGAAATTTTAAGTATTTAAATAAATAATACTTACTTATGGTTTATATTAATACTTATATGTATTCATATGAATAAAAAATAAATGTCAATCAACAAAATACAGTCAACTTAAGTGTGAACATGTTTACAAACATTCAGTAATAAGACAACAACGCCATCTTAACGTTTTCAGCGATACTTACGGTAGATACGAGGTTTTTGAATTCGAACATGTAGATACGAGAAAAATCAAAAGCCTCTAAAAAAAAATCTATCAACATTATGAACATTGCATGTTTTGTTTTACGTTACAAGAGTGCTAAGGAGTGATTTTCGCTAAAAATCTCAATTTCGAAAAAAATTGAGTTACGAGGTTTACACAGAAAGGGGACGATATGTACATTAACAATTAAAAAAATATAAACAATGAAATTATAAAATTAGTTCACTTATTAAATAGCATAATAAAAAATACAGTAAAAAAAATTGATTACACTGATAATCAAGAATAATAATAATTTATTGAATAATTTTTTTTTTCAATTTGGTAAATAATTTGAAAAGTCCGAGTTACTTACCGATACAAATTGCTGTGGCTGAATATTACTCAAGCCTGTTTGATTTGATGTTAGGTCTTGCAGCTGTTGATATGGTATAAGCATAGTTTGTGATCCTGGAACTGTCCATTGCATAGTTTCAGTACCTTGTAATTGGTACTTTATATCCTTATCACCTTTATCTGTGCTATACAGAATTTTTTGTGAAGAATTTGTACTTTGAGCTGCACAAACTACTGGGGCTGTGGCGGAGCTGACTGTAGTGGTATCAGCTCCTGTTAAACTTGCTTGAGGAAATGATAGACCATTCGGTAAAATCATTGACATAGATGAAGGTACTCCACTTAATCGCAGTTGAGTGACATTCACAGGTTGCATGCTAGATAAATCAAACATTTGTGTTCCAAAATTTGGCTGCTGGATTGCACTTAATGACTGGGCTAAAGGCAGGGATGTAAAATTTGTATTTGAAACTTGTACTCCAGGTTGCACTATAGGTATTAATTGACCACTCTCTTGATTTAGCACATATTGTTGCTGTGGCTGAAGAAGCTGTAGGACTGTAGGCTGTCTAACAGTCATGAGGGGTGTGTTGGCCGGAGCTACACTAACTACTGGTGGAATTACTGTGGGGTGAGTTGATGTTGTTAGTGTTGATGGGGTTGATAGTGAAACAGAAACGACCGGTGGAGGTACGGGAGGAGGGGCCGCAGTCGTGGTAAGAGTCGGCGGTGGCACATTCAGCGCAGGTGGAGGCCCACCCGCCTGAGCGGCACTCCACTGCGCTAATTCTGCCCGTATAGTTTCAATTAGATTTTGCGCCAATGACCTTGCCGCAGCCAATGCCTCTGATCGCGTGTGGTGAAGCGCTAAATGCAATGGTTCGAATTTGTCATTTTTTAATACAGCAACAACTCCAGTTTCTGATCTTATATATTCTAAGTTAGTACCATTCTGTAAATAAGAATTACATAACGTTAAAGTGTAAGTTAGATGAATAACTAATGAATCCTACGTAGGAAATGTTGAGTAACTCACAGGTCCAAGAATTCTTGATTTTATATCAAATGCGGCCGGCGCATTGTCTAGACCTATGTAAACTTTGTCTATTAGTCCTCCTGACATTATTGTTGAGCTTAATAATCTTGTTTAACTTTTATTTATGTTATTTTCGGAGAATGCATCTTTTAACACAAGACAGTGTTTTGACATTCCAAATGTAAGTTCTGAAATTATTGAAAGAAGAAAGGCAGGCGTCCATTACGTTCAGAAAAAAATTTAAACCTTATTTGATCTTTTCTAATAGTTCCTAATTTTTATGATTTTGTCATTCAAAAAAAAATTATTTTCTGTCATTGCAAATAAATTTATCACATTGTTTAAAAATAAACGAAAGAAAAAAATCAATTTATTAACAATGAATACTGAGAATCGTTATCCAGTTACTGCTTCTTTATTTATGTTACGAGAAATAAAAAATCGCCAGGAAAAAGTTAATAGAGGATATCAATTGTTAAAAAGGAAGGCAGATGCTCTTCGCATGCGGGGTCACCAAGCCGCCGCTGAATTAGCTACTACGCAGGCGATCCTAGGCCATACCTTAAAAGAAGCGTATATTTCTTTAGCTGCTATCAAATTTACTAATGGAGAGTCTAATGCTTTAGTGCTTGAGAATGTAGAGGAAGTAATTTGAAAATTTACATTGTTTATTATTATACCTATTCAAAAATTACCTATCTGTGTCTAATCATTATTATAAGTTTAGAAACATTTTTTTACCAGGCTCAAATTCGGGTACATCGAGTTCCAGAAAATATATCTGGGGTAGCGACAGTGTCACTTCAAATAATAGAAGATAATAAAGTTAATAATACTCTCCGTTACGCCGGCCTCGGTGCTGGTGGACATAGAACTGCAGAAACTAAGAAGGCTTTTAGAAAAGCCATCGAGTTATTAATTACATTTGCATCTTTGCGAAACACATGCTTATTGCTCGATGAAGCTATAAAATCAACTTTAAGGTACACTGCACACGAAAAATACTTAAATGAGTTATAAGTATTTGGACATTTTTATTTTTAATATTATTTTATTATTAATAATAGATATCTATTTATTTTAGAAAGGTAAATGGAATTGAAAAAGTAATTCTACCAAAACTACACAATACCGAAAGCTACATCTTGACAGAGATGGATGAAAGAGTAATAAAATCTTCTATAAATTCTTTAAATATCAGTGCAAAATATATACATACGTACGTAATTATTTAGGTATGATAAATTTACAGGAACGTGAAGAATTTCATCGTTTAAAAATGGTAAAGGCAAAGAAAAACTTTAGCCAATCTTTATTGAAATCTAATAAGAAACCTATTTCTGGTGGTAGCGTAGAAAGCGGTAAGTCTTAATTTAATGTTTCAATTACAGTATTATAATGATGTTAATAAATTAACAAAACTTAATTGTTATATTATTTCAGATAAGTCCGCCACACCTCCACTTTTCCCTAAGGAATCATTAGAGTCTTTTACTAATATTTACTCAGGCGTTATTTCTTCAACAACCGTGTCCGCTGGCGACTTCAAACCAGTTTGCTACCCTCATAATTGGGACGATGAAGACTTGTTATTTTAATTATAAATTTAATGTTTAACTAAAGCTAATAATAAATAAAGTTATTGTGTTAAAAAAACTTTTATTTTTAATTTAAATAATACATAATTAAAAAAAAAACAATTATAAGACCCAACCATTGTCTAATCTCTCTTCCATTGGTTTCGTAAAATATTGACATCTTCGGAATTTCTCCAAAATCTCTCCCTGTAAGGAAGTCAATTCTTATAATAAAATTTCCTTTTACCTGCATATGGCTAAAACTTAAAATACTTAAAATAAAATTGGATCCATTTAAAAACATTCTGGACCACAATGTTGAATTTGCAAAATGTTGGATTCTTATGATGTTGAATTCGCAAAATGTTGACTCCCAAAATGTTGAATTCGTAAAAAGTTGAATTTACTGGACCCACAATGTTGAATTCCTAAAACGTTGAGTTCGCTAAAAGTTGAATATCACAATCGCTTTATAACTTTTAATAAATTGTTTAAAAATTAAAACTTACAGGACCAGTCTTCTTGATATTTTCGCTGTAGTAGGTAATTGCACTTGATCCTGTCCCATATAAAGGATATTTGAGATGCATCTGTGAATTTAAAAAAAACTATTATATTTTGATAATTAACGTGTTAAAAATCTGTCATCAACAATGTGAAATATTCGTACATTTTTGTCAGCAGTAATCTCTAAATTACGTGGTTCAAATTGATCTTTTACAAAATTTGCATCATACTCGGAACAGTATTCTGCAACTGGCTGTGATGTCGCAAGTTCGTCAATAACTTCGTCAAGCATTTGTTCCCAAAAAAAATCAGTTAACATGCGTTTACGGATACCTAAAAATAATAATTTTTAATGGCAATATTTAGCTAAAAATATATATCGCTTTAGCACATATTTTTATGTTTATTTCGTTATTGCTATATATTGCAAATTAGACATAAAATATTATAATATATTTATAGTAATTTTATAAGATAATATATTAATTTTATTACCCTCGGCTTGCTTTGGTTTTCTAGGTATTCTATAACTGTCGCGCATTTCACTTCCCTGGCCAGGTACTTCACGACCATCTTGAAGTATCCATGGTCGGCTAAAGTTCTTGCCTTTACCATAAACTGAAGGTTCAATGGGAACTTTTGGATGAAGCTTTAAGCGTTCTATTGGTCTTATCTTTAACTCTGTTTCTTCTCCCAAAGATTCAGGAATATCAGCTTGCACTTTTTGATCCATTGCTCAGATTTGCTATTGATTTCAATTTAAAATTTATGTTATTTATGTATAACTATAACATTGAAATTGCTATTTACACTTGTTGCTAGGTAGCATAGTCTGTGATCATAGATCTGATAATATTCTTAATATAATAAGATATAATCTGTCGCTAAGAAGAAAATAGGTCCATAGACATTAATTGCAAGTAGTATAAATGTCACTGTCACAGTCAAGGCTCAAAAATGGCTGAGGCTTGTCAGATTGCTCGAAAACAAGATTTGCCTCCTCCGGGAGGCTACAAACCAATACCCTTTAAAAGGTTACCCGCGAAACAATACTTCAGCGGTGAGTTTATAAAAAAATACATTTGTTTTTAATATTGATAATAATACAAGTTACGTAATTTGTTTAGGTTAGGCTTTCGTATCAGTTTTTAAAAGAATTCTACCTAATTGTAGCAATATATTCGTTCTTTTATGAGACTGTCTCCTTAAAATTAGTTTTAGAAATAACTATAAATACGAAACGATGTATTGTATAACTTCACTTTATAAGATTAATAAATTAAAATAAATTTAAGGGTATACTATGTTCGCTGGTTATATCGGGATAACTGCATTTGCCTTATACCTTTACAACATAACAAATAAGAATATTCGCAAGAATGAGATTGAAATGCGGTCTGCCAAGATGGCTATATACCCAATGTTGCTGGCTGAAAGAGATAGGGAATACCTAAAGCAGCTCCGTAGAAACCGTGACGCGGAAACGGAACTTATGCGTGATGTGCCTGGATGGGAGGTAAAATAATAAATTAATAACTTTTACTTTTCTAATTTATTTATAGTATAACAATAATATTAAAATGAAAACCAAATTAAATCTATACCTCATTTATATTACAGGTGGGAACCTACTATGGTGAACGTGTTTACAAAAATGTGCCTCCAGACACATTGGTGGAACCAATCTTCCATGAATACTATGCCCACAGCTCCCCATATGAATGGTTCAAGAGGGCTTATATTAAGCTGCGTTCTTAGATGCAAGCTTTTAATTCAAATATGGATATTATAAGTCAGTCAATGAAGACTTAAATACTTAACATTACGACGTCTTGAATATTCAAAAACAATGTACAGTGGCTGATTTGTATTTCCTATTAAAAAGGTTACTTTAGTTCAGAATATGTTTGAGCAGTTGACTAAAGTATCAACATGTGTCTGTAGTTGCTTGGTCAGAATTAAAAAATGAATTTTAGTCAATTTGTTTTTGTTTACGACATCGAAACAAATAAATAATACACATATTACTGATATAACATTTCTATAGATTCTTCTTTTTTTAAAACATTCAAATAATAACCTAATATTGTCCATTGATGAATACATAAATATATTTATCTCTTACATTCATTCATAAGGATGAATTAGGTAACTTACATTTATTACTATTAACATATTCTTGTGAAGGACAGTATTTATTTACAGTTCAACAATTACAGCCAGACTATTACTATAAGCCACAACCCACTAGAAAGGAATAACTATGCATAATATTTATTCCACTCTTGAGGAGAGATAATATACTCGTCCATGAAAAGGTTTGTAATGAAAAACAACAATTGTGAAAGACTATTTATTTTCTTTAACATATAAAATATAAATTAAATTATAACAAATGTACAGTGTTTTCAAACAAAACAAACATGAAAATAATCAGGAGAAATAATGAGTATATTCAAATTAGAAAAAAATATCTATAGATTTAGTAGTTCCAAATCCTGCATTCCATATATTAACAGAGAACACATAGTATGAATATTCTTCTATATGCTTTGTGAAATTCATCTTTCAATTATTGGCAGTTTAGTCAAATATCTACACCAATTTTATTCCCAAAAATTTCTCAAGAGTGTTTAACAATAGAATTACCTATTATTATTTTTATTATACAAAGCTAGATATTTACCATGTTCCTCTTTTTCGAGTTGCCCTTATTTTTGCAGTGTTGAAAGCACCATGAGCGCACACATATGCAGCAGAAAAATGCAGACAAAAATAGCAAAATATTTTTAAATGCAATAAAAACTATTTATTTACTTACAATATAATATCAAACACAGACACATAGACTATAATGTCAAATTAAAATTATAATACCAATTTCATACTTAACGAGAACTTATTCTTGAGCATTTGGTAGATATATTAAAAATAAACCACAACCATGTTTTCAATATATTATCCAGAGCTTTTATTTACTTACTAAAAACATAATTTAAAGAAACTAAAAACATGCTTATGCTATTAATAGGTAATACCTATACTATATGGTAGAATGTACATATCAAAAAAGCCATTTAAAGATCTATTCCACCTGCTCTTTCTATCTCCATCATCAGATGACATCAAATTGCATTGTTTTTTTCAAATTACTTAGTATATACAGGTTGGCGACACTTGACCAACATTACATGACATATTTTAGTCTCTAAAAATTATCAATTTGAAAAAATACCTTCAAATAAACAAGTGCATTTTTCAAACAAAATAAATACAGTCAAAATGGACATCAAAATAAATATCATTACATCATAACTTTATCGACCTCATCCATCAGTCAAAAAGTACTTTTTTGATCGATGACCTTAGCTAAAGTCTTGAACATCGCACTGTCCGGGCGAGATCATATGAGATCATTAGCAATAGGCGTTGAATGAACGGCCTAGTTCAATCAACCGGTCGACGGTTCACGTATTTCAAATGAACTAGTAGAATTCATAGACTAACGGCCTGTCCGCACTGCGATATTTCACCGCACGTTTTTATTCTCGCAATTCTGTAACACATTGAATCTTATAGGAGTATCCGCACTGGCGGTTAAAAATTTGCGCGGAAAAAAAATCTGTGATTTGATGCAAATTGAACGCGATGCGGCGCGGATTATTTCCGCGCGAATGTTTTGTACAGTATAAAATATGTATGGCTATGGCCGCACTGCGAAATAAAATTCGCGCGTTTCGCTCAGTCGTGCACCGACGCCATTCATTCTGTAATATCCGAAAAACTTTTTACTGTATTTTCGCAGCTCGTGATATTTAATGTAGAAAAACATCTTTTTAGATTACTAAAATGTCTCAGTAGATATAGTAGATTTATCATTTTAGACGTTTGTCTCAGTCGGGAACTGCATCAAACTAACAAAATTTCGTACGATTTTTGTTAGTTTGATGCAGTTCCCGACTGAGACAAACGTCTAAAATGATAAATCTACTATATCTACTGAGACATTTTAGTCATCTAAAATGATGTTTTTCTACATTAAATATCAAGAGTTGCGATAATACAGTAAAAAGTTTTTCGGATATTACAGAATGACTACAAAATCATTCGATAAACCAATAGCGTCGGTGCACGACTGAGCGAAACGCGCGAATTTTATTTCGCAGTGCGGCCATAGCCATACATATTATATACTGTACAAAACATTCGCGCGGAAATAATCCGCGCCGCATCGCGTTCAATTTGCATCAAATCACAGATTTTTTTTTCGCGTGAATTTTTAACCGCCAGTGCGGATACTCCTATAAGATTCAATGTGTTACAGAATTGCGAGAATAAAAACGTGCGATGAAATATCGCAGTGCGGACAGGCCGTAAGACAGTCCGTCGCGCAACGTAAACTAGTAACTATAGACTGTCTAGCCTAGCGTCTACAACTACATTGAAGCGTACGTGAACCACAGTCCACGATTTGAACTAGTCGACGAAAGAAAATGAACGGTCTAGTTTTGTTCACGCTAAATACGTCGACGACCCATCGCTAGAGGTCATAGGACTCCTAGTCCCACCGTTGGTATACAATAAATTCATAAAACTCGCAGAAGTGACATCAAATGAATCTAGTTTTGCGAAAAGTGAGTGCTTGTGCAAAATCGCATCGCGTCGCATCGGCAGGCTCAGGCACGCAATTATGGGTTTATAACATTGGGCAACAACGAGATGAAAGCGCGCGGGTTCGGATCCCGGTTAGATTACATTTGTCGTGCAAATATTCGTCAATAACGACTTGAACATAGTGTATTTTTGTGAATTTGTGTGTAACTCACGAGTCACACGCCTTCACAGTTCACGGACTTACACATTTCTTTCGTTTTCTCTTCGGAATTCGGATATATTCGGAGCGGCAACGTCGCACATCATTTCGCCATCATCCTTCGCTTGCGCGTATCACATGTGGTTTAAAATTTTAAAACGAAAAAAAATACCTGGGCCTTTTAATATTCAATATTTTAATTAAAATTTGGATTTGTCTTGTAATTCTTTATACTAAAAGTTTAAAGGAACGTTAGTCAAGCGTCGCCAACCTGTATATGATACAAACGAAACCAATTGATAAGTAACTTTATAGGTTAAAATTATTGAATTTATATAATAAAAATAAAAAAAGTACATAATATGATTTATCATATAAATGTTGCCATAATAATTATTTAAAATACACAAAACTAAAATTATTCACTTTACAAAAACTCTATCTTATTTACATTTCTTAATGACAATTTTTGGTTTCAACTTAACAGATCTTAACTTGCGCATGTGACTCATAACAAAATATAGACCGGGGAAAGTTAGTACTAATAGATATACCCTTAAAAATGATGGCATATGGAAAGCAAAATTCCATTCATTTGGCATAGAAACTGTAAACCTTTGGGTTTCCTCAAAATATGGAATGTTACGTAGTATAACTATAGATTCACACAAAACTCCCAGCGGGTAGAGTGGTATCCACATTGTGTAACGAAGCCATGTTAGTATGTAAAAGTCCTTCTTGTACAACTGTGATATATAGAATGGATACCTAGAAAAAATATAAAAAAATAAATTGTATGTTAGTACGTATATGTATAAATGAAAAAAAAAATTGGCTTGAATTAAATATATTTAGCCTTACAGCAAATAAATGAAAATGAGGTTATTAACTATTTCAATTTTAAATCACCTTCAACCTTTATTGTTTTGTTGAAATTACAATAAACATAAACCGAGTGATGATGCAATATGCAACTTATATTAGTAGAATGGTAAACTTTTATATGTTTTGCTTGCTTTTTCTTTAAAATCATAATGATCAGTCCTCGTGCATAGATCAGGCCGCAACATCGACGGCTTTACGTACTCCGAGGCACGTGAGTGAAACATCCAATTCTTATCTCTAGGCTGTTACTAAACATTTTTGCCAGGAAAACTCAATAGCTACGCTTGTCCGGATCCGGGATTTGAACCCGGGACCTCCGGACCTATAGGTGTATATGCGAGCCACGAGACCACCGAGGCAGTTAGGTACAACATAGTACATCGGACAACTTTTATAATTGCGAGATTTTATATACGAGTATGTGCGTATTGTTAATCCTTTACACTGTAACGGCTGAACAGATTTTGATTAAATTTAATATACAGATAAACAACAGCCTATACCTATCATAGGTCCCTATATTTGTTACAAATGTACATTTCTCACCTGACCACTTCAATAACACTCCAAACTAGAAACAGATAGAAGACGACAGGCTTCGTCTGCATGCGAGGTTCAGACTCAATCATGGCGAATAGCACGAAAGCGCGTCCGCTAACTTGCATCAATGGCACTAGCACACCGCCCTGAGAGGACAACGTAATCATACATACATATTAAATGCAATATAATATTTGCTGTATGGCACTAGGGTTTGAGTCTCGGAACGTCTAGTGTCTCGAAGTCCCGGGACTATTAATCGGAAATCTAAAAAACTAAAATCGGGAAAAATCACAGAAAAAAAGCTGAAATTCTAGCAAAAAAAATCAAGGTCAAGATTAAAAAACGAGCTGCAATTGTTTGAAGCGTTGTTAAGTTTGGCAGTTTGCTTTATAATTATTATAACATTTTAATGCCAAAAATTGAACTTGTGATTAACTCGTAAAAAAACGGAGTTACAGTGTTATGCTTCTCAGGTACAGAACTTACCTTTGTATATCCAAACAACGGATGCATAACTTCTAGAAACATCATAAGCTGCAGGAACTTCATCGCGGGTCCGACGTGTTCATACGTATCGGCCACCGATTCGTACTCCAGCTTGGCATAACGCACTCCCATCACACTCAACACGTACATAAACCCAATGAATTGGAACAAATTGTATATCACTAGATATACTTTCTTAAAGTCTTCTGAAAGCATCATTTTTAAATTGTTTATTCGAAGTGAATACCTCTTCGCCCAATCTACGGGTCTACAGTAGACAGACAGTATTTAAAACAAAGTTTCTTTAGTAGTTGATTGGTCCAGAATATACGTATTTTTAACGTAAATAAAATACAAATCTTTATCAATAGTATGTTGGAAGTATTTAGAATTTATAATAATAATGTTCATATACCACGAACCCGTATCCCGTCTCTATGAACCAGTTTTATAATTTAACTTCACACACTACCATTAGTTAGCACGTCATACAAAAAAATGTTGGACAGTCCAAAATTGCACACCTTAATCGCTCATGTGATAGTAAAAAGTAAAATGACCACCTAACAATTAAAATATAAAAGAAAAACAAGATTTCCATTCCCGTTATTTGAATCTTTTAATGATTTAACTACATAATAACTTTTGAAATACATACATACACAGCAGCTATTGGTCATTAATCGCTAGCTGGTACAGATTTTTTCGTTGCCAGTTACAGAGAAAAATCTGTAACAGCTAGTGATTTTTTTTCCGTTCAAAATATATAATACGTACCTACTTATAGATGTATAAATAGTGACTCCACAAGTCACTCTAAAATGATGTCATTGATTCAGGCATTTGTTAAAATATCAATATATGTACAAAAATCGGACCGAAATGAATTAGTTATTAATAACTGAATGATTTTTATAAAAAAAATAATTTTCTTAGTAAAAAGCAAAAATATGAACGCAAGATAAAAAAGAATTAATGCAAAATAGTAAATTCCTAATAAATATAACGGCTCTTACAATTTCCCTGCGACACATAATATGTTTATCAAACATCACATAATTTGTGTTTGAGAACTTATTTATTGGAAAATGTAAAAATTCCGAGAAGTACGGGAAATTTTCCCGTGGATCTGAAAGCTTGAACTAAATTTAGTCGATCCACGGGTCAGCTATGGAAAAGCTGGCTGTAAACACGTAGATCAGGCGAATAGTATCAGCCTTATTTTTTCTATATATAAATTAGTTAAAAAATTGTACATAAATTGCGGTAAATGATTAAAGAATTATCACTTATCATAATTTATCTGAATTAAAATTATGTAAGGAATCCTCTGGTATGGTTTACTGATAAGAAGATATGTAAGAATTTAAAATTATAATTCAAAAGTAAATCTATATCTATAATAAAATTGTAACTAAGTTGAATCTGTACATTAAATATTTTTTGGAAAATCTTATTAATTAGACATTATTATCGATACAGAGTCCGAATCTATAGTTTTTAAGAATTTCTGTCTGTATGTCTGTCTGTTGCCGCATCACGAGAAAACCACTGGACAGATTTTGATGAAATTTGGTATGATGATAGCTGGTTATCCGGGTCAACATATAGGATACTTTTTACCGCGGGAAAATATCTCATTTCTGAGAAAAAATACAAAAACTGCATTGTAAGAGTATACTACTATGTAAAACCTAAGAATTTGGTTTTTGGTCATCGAACGCGGGCGGAGCGGCGGGCAATGCTAGTAATAAATATATCTATGCTAGGGATGTAAGTAGCTTCGTTCTTATCACGACCATGCTAAGTAACGAACTTTGTACCAAATGCCTAAGTTTCGACTTGTCGCGCGATGATTATCCTCACGGCATTTTTTGTATGTTGCTGACCGGTTTCTGTTGTATTAAACGCGGTTTAATTTCAACTTTGAACTTCGTTGAAATCTTTTACGCTTCCATTTAAATATATCATAATCAAAATCTCTGACTTCGGTTCCGATAAAAACCACCTCTGTAACATCTCTAATCTATACCTAATGAATTATTACATACATACTAATATTGATAAGTCCTTTTTTGATCGATTAAAAATTTACAGATTTAATGAGATTTATATTTTGTCTCAACAAATTCATAACTTGAAATTAAAATGTTTATATATCAAATCCTAAATATACCAAACAATATGTAATAAAATTTCAATTCACCCTTTCACAAGTATTTGACCTTCATTTAGTCTATAACATGCAAATTTGGTAGACGGTGTGATCTCTGAATAATGAATATCACATACTTATTACTAACTTTCTTACAAACAGAAATTGGTCCAGAATTTTGCAAAAACAAATTCAGAAATCCATGTATTAGCAGCCAGCTTAAAATGCTTTTAGTGATATCCATGTCCTAGTAATAATACCAGAATCAGTCAGTTTTGGTAAATACTAAACTTAAAGGTGAGGCTTTATTTTAATGTTGATTTATTCTGAGACTTGTAAAGAAAAGGTAGGAGTAGTAGCAATAGAGGCAAATTTATTAAAGGGTGAAATCATGAACGAAGTGGTTAATTCGTTCATGGGTGAAATATTATATATAATAAAAAAAAATATTGTAAATATTCCCATATAATTTTTTTATTATTCATTCAAAAGGTTCATTTTTGGACTCTGACCTTAAAATAGTAAAACAATTGCTAAGCAAGTTTCACATCATGCTTTAAATTATATATAAGTATGATTGTTTCCCTATAATAATGAAATAGCGAGGCATTGTAAATTACAAAAAAATAATTACTCTTTATAACTACTAACGACTCACTTCGTCCCTAGCTTGATTCTCAATACAAACTTTCATCCCCATTTTCACCCCCTTAAGAGATGATTTCCAGGATAAAAAGTATCCTATGTCCTTCCCAGGGTCACAAACTATCTTCTTAACTTCTTCAGAGATTACCCCCCTACAGCGTCACAAACTTTACCTCTTTATAATATTAGTATATATGAGTTTGTTAAATAATTTTTTTCTTTATGTAGTAATTTTAATTTTACATACCTTTTCTATATCCAATCTCCTCTTTTTGCAACTGTTCATACATGCCTGGGTAATCTTTCATGACATCTCGAGTTTCATCTTCACTGTCATGTCCATCTTCAGATTTCCATAAGTCAAAGTTTATCTAAGCCAAAATTGATTAAAACAAAAAACATAATGAATACAGGAACACCAGAATAATTATAGTAAAAGAACATCATCTTTAATTAAAAATCACTAGCTAACTTTAGTGATAGATGTCTTGCTGTCGAGAAGTTGTAACTGTAGCATAGATGTGAAAGGGTTGTTGATAAAGATGCTTTAATTGTACCTTTAGCCAAGCTGGTTTTTGAGGCTGGGCAGTAAGCCTCGGCCACCAAGCTACTTTTTCTTTTTGCAAAATAACTTCAACTCTATTATCGAATATTCGAACCGATGTTGATTCCTCTGTGTTCTGAAAAAATATATTAAAAAATAAACCTTAGTGCAATATTTTCCTCAAGTGTGTAGCAAATTAACTAAATCATGGAATTTAGTAAATTATTAGGTTTTCTCAGATGTAATTGATATATAAATACTATAAAATGACAGTATACTTACGGGCTTAACAGATGAAAATAAATCTAAATTAAATTCATAATGACTATCGCCATGGGCACCAATTCCTTGAGTTCCAAATTTGATATTATTTTCACCAACATTTATTTCCGGCTTAGTAACGTTTTTTAAATCAATTTTTAATGATATATTTTTGTCAGTTTGTGCCCAATACACGAAAGGACTTAGAATAACCATAATTATTATTTTTATCAATTCTTACACTTCAAGGATTTTTTTATAACGATGTTTAAAAAGTAGAAACTATTTTATAATTATATTGCTAGGTAATATTACAAATTATTAAATTTTTAAATAAATTTACGCTCATGGGGCACCGTCGTTTATATATGTAGCAATATACTCTATGGGCACCGTCGTCACCCGTCACCGCGACAACTTCACAAAGTTGAAACTTGAAAGTAGTAAGTACATAGAGTATAGAGTATGCACAAAGTACAAACTACAAACGTCACAGTATAGATGTCGGCAGTGAAAAAAAACGAGTCAAATTTTCAGATTTTTTTGTAACACAAACAAAACATACTAGTCATAGGCAATACAATATTTTTTTCCGTTCGTTTCTATCTTTTACGGCTTTGAATTTTGTTAAATATTCCGCCAATAAATTAAAGTACCTGGGCTACCGAGCTTCGCTCAAAGTTTTTGGCCTAAAGTGCAATTTTCTTTTTTTTTTAAAACTGAAATCTCGAATAAATATTAAAGAAAAACAAAAGTAAAAACTTTGTATGCGACCGAGATTTGAAGCTGAACACCTATGATTGTTGATCTTGCACCTGGACCGCCTGACCACGATGTTCATGCACGAGTGTGCTTATTACTGACCATATTTTGCGTGGAATAATGCAAAAGAAAACTGCATGAAAACTCGATAACACGCGTTTTCTCAGACATAAGACTAATCTAGATCGATTTAACGCCCCCGAAACTCCCCGTGTACTGAATTTCATGAAAATCGTTGGAGCCGTTTCCGAGATTCAGATTACGTATTTATAAGAATTGTTCGTTTAAAGATATAAGATTTGAAAAAAAATCGTTTTTGATATGATTTTCAATATTGATCGATATATCGATGTATTGGAATAAAATATATCGGCTAAAAATATCGATATATCGAACCAAAAATATCGATATATCGATATTTTTTAAACAAGCCTACATCACAAAAATAACAATTCACAAAAGATAAAGAAAGAGTTAGGAGTCTAGAGACAACTTTTAGATCATACAAACTTTCATCCCCTATTTTACCGCCTTATGGTATGAATTTCGAAAAATGTTAAAAAACGTATAAATATAAATACGTAAATTTAATTAAACCATATAAATTTTACACATTTATTGTTAAATAAAACTACGAATAAAAAATACTTAAATATTATTACAAAAAGAACATGTTGTAATATTGTAATGTTCAAATAATATAAATTTCGATCCTACATTAATGAAATTGGTTATTGGTCACATTGCCTCATACCTATCGATATCGAGTTTTTTGTCTGTGTTCATTATTAATTCATCTGATTTCGTCTGTCAAAAAGCCGTTTGCCCCATCGATGGGTGTCGAGTTTATTTAATAAATATCTTATTTATTCAAATTCTTGCGTAGTTTATTCGAATTCGCTATGCTAAAAATGGTTTAAATATTTGTTTTAAAGTTTCATTACATCACGAGACAAATCACCGAATCTTGTAAACAAATCCAAAATGTCCGTTCCCAGCACTGGATTGAGCAAATTGAAAAAGAAACATATTCGCGTGAAACATCAAAAAGTGAAATTATTTCGTGCTAATGAACCGTTACTGTCTGTTTTTATGTGGGGTGTTAATCACACGGTAAATACATTAACTATTTCAAACCATTGAATAATTTATTTGAAGGAAATTCGTATTTGATTTTTTCAACTAAGTTGTTGTTTATCTTTTGTTATTTTTTTCTCATTATTTTTTTATTTTTTTTACAAGGATTTAACTTAGGTCGTGTACATACTTATTATATTAAAATCTAATACTTTAATTTGCTGGCAAATGATCAATAATTAAATAATAACAACTATTGTCTTCTCTAAATATAGCACTTTATCATTACGTTGAAGGCTTTAAAACCTAAATAAGTGCCAAGTGCCATTTATCTAAGTATTATAACATTTAAATGAAAATATAATTAAATATATGGTAATTTCTTATTTTTAAATTATATTGGGGCTAAAACTTCTTAGATTTATAGTATAGAACTGTGCACTGTATAAAATCATTAATTTATTTTCCTTCTTATTTTGTTAATATTTTTAATAAATATTATAAGATATTTTATCTATGTAATATAATTAACTCTTTTATGGTTCATTCCACAATACTTACTAAAATCCCTATTTAATTTGGTATACATTATGGATCAATCAAAATTTTACATTATATTATGTATTGTGTTTATACTTAATTTAGAATTTATTATAAAACTTAGGTATTTGTAAATAAAATTATTTTTATTAATAAAAATTATACTATAGGGCTTGAAATGATGAAACATTCTTGTTCTAGATAAATGAGTTAAGTCATGTTTCTATACCTGTTATGCTGTTGCCTGATGACTTTAGGGCTTACTCCAAGCTCAAAGTGGACAATCATTTATTTAACAAGTAAGTAACACTAAAATATATAATATAATATTTTTTTGGTTATTTTATCTTAAAAGTAAGTATAGATCAATTATTTATTTTTCAGACTTAAACAGTTTTGGTGATGCTGTAGCAATAAATAATTTTTCAAATTAGATGATATTATAAATTGAATTCTTTTTATATAATAATATTAAAAGTAGAATATTAGTTTGCCGGTAATCGAAGAATTTATATTATGTACTGTGTAAACTCCATATTAAATCCCCATACACCACAAAACTGTCCTAAAACATACTATGGTTGGTGTACCTTAGAATCTGTTCAAGTGCCCAAAACCATCATTGTATGCCCAAAGCATAAAATAAATCTTTTTTTTGGTTGCTGCCCATGTTTGTCTCAACTATCATAGTTTTATTAAATTGACTCTTTATAAGTTCTAAAATCTCACAAATAATGTGTCAATATTGCGATATATAAATATATATATATATATATATAAATATATATATATATATATACATATATATATTTATTTATATTATATGTATATAAATTTACCTATTGTTAGTATTTATACTACTAGCAGAATCCGCGCCTCGTTCAGATGACCAAAAACCAAATTCTTAGGTTTTACATATTAGTATACTCTTACAATGTAGTTTTCGTATTTTTTCTCAGAAATGAGATATTTTCCCGCGATAAAAAGTATCCTATATGTTGACCCGAATAATCAGCTATCATTATACCAAATTTCATGAAAATCTGTCCTGTGGTTTTCTCGTGATGCGGTAACAGACAGACAGACAGACAAAAATTCTAAAAACTATATTCTGACTATGTATCGATAATAATGTCTATTTCAATTAGATTTTCCAAAAAATATTTAATGTACAGATTCAACTTAGTTACAATTTTATTATATGTATAGATGTTTTCCGATTGGAAAGAGATAATATCCCGCGGTATGAAGTAGCCTATGTCACTCTCCAGCCCTCCAACTATATCCACACAAAAAATCACGCCAATCCGCCAAGGCGTTTCGACGTGAAAGAAAGACAAACAAACAAACACACTTTCACATTTATAATATTAGATGCATTTAGTAAAAAGTTGTTATGTTGATATTACAAACAAACACTTTAATTTTATTTATCTATCAGACAGTCAGTCATTAAAGTTAAGCATCAATTTAATATCATTCTAATCCTTGCTAAGTAATAAATAGTGAGTATATTATATATATATACACATTACACTATACTTTGTTTGTATATACATGAAATGAAGAATGTATCATCATTTGCATTTCGCTGACTACACATGTAATTTCATGAAGCATGTTTAACATTTAACCTTGTCCAATTTGTATCAATAAACAGCTCTTGTATAAGACATGAATACCTAATTTTAATTCACTGGAACATTTACAAAATTTTATTTGTAACTAGCACTGCCCGCGGTTCCGCCCGCGTTTAGATGACCAAAAACCAAATTCTTAGGTTTTACATATTAGTATACTATTATATTGCAGTTTTTGTATTTTTTCTCAGAAATGAGATATTTTCCGGTAAAAAGTACCCTATATGTTGACCCGGATAACCAGCTATCATCATACCAAATCTGTGATGCGGTAACAGACAGACAGACAAAAATTTTAAAAACTATAGATTCGGCCTCTGTATCAATAATAATGTTTATTTCAATAAGATTTTCCAAAAAATATTTAAAGTACAGATTCGGCTTAGTTAAAATTTTATTATATGTATAGATGAAACATCCAATAATATTTTTCGTTAGTTCTCCATTTATTGAATGGTTTGGTAAACACTTAACAGAAAGTTTTTATTACTTTTAATAATTAATAATAGCTTAAGTTTATAATTAATAATAGCTTCATTTTTCCATCTTCAATGATTCTTTGTTATGGCTTTTTAAGTGTCTATTCAAACCAGGGTATGAAATTATCAAGATAAATATATCTTTTGATAATTATCGCGATAATTATCAAATAATTATTCGATAATTATCAAACAGATATAAACTTAGCAATCCTTGGTAGGTAGGTATTGGTATTTGACTAATAGCCTATCATAATTTACGTTAAAATAAGTTATACACTTTTAACAATCAAGGTAATTTTTTATTATTATTTTTTTTTCATTATTTTGACATATACAAACTTGGAAATAAAAACTGAATAAATTTAACCAACTATATAGACACTATTTAATTAAATTAATGGGTTTTGCCCACTACACCGTCTCATACCATGACAGTGCTAGGACCGTGTCAGGCAAAAAAATATTCCTTGTAGTGAAAAATATGAGACTATGCCCACTAGACCGTTCTAGCACCGACCAAGATCATTCCGTTACCGACCAACACCGTCGCGTGCCGTGGATGGAAAGTTAACAATCATTGTCGGCAAGAATATTTTGCCGGTGCCCATACGCTCCGTGCCTGGCACGCGACGTTGCCAAACCGGTGCGCCCGGGTGGCGAAACGGTGAGCGAAAGGGTTATAACTGTATGATTACCGTTCTAAGCCTGTTATAAACGTCTTGTCGCTTGTCTTCTAGTGATAATATTTTCTTTTAATTTTTTTTAAAACGGCGTGAACCTAGTAACATCCTGATCGACTGATATTATTCTCTTTCCCTCGTCTAAAACAATGGCTATCATTGTTAATTCTCTGTCGGACAAGTTTCTAATAGCCATCGTATAGGTATAGGAAATAATTTTCGTAACAAAAATATTCACTCGCTCTTTCTGATGCGGCTGCCTCCCGCGAAAACACAGGTGACCTAGTACGACTGAGAAAACGGGAACTATACGGATATGACACGCGGATGATACGCGCGGTTGATACGAGAATAATACGTTCGAGTGGGCAGAGTAATCCGTCTAGCTTGTTTCCGTGCCTGATACGTTCATAGCACGGTCATGGTATGAGACGGTGTATTGGGCAGACTCCTTAATGAGTGGAATATCATCCTCATCCTCCTCAACTGCATTAACACAGTTTGCTGATTGAGTTTTTTGAGCTGATTGAGAGAGTTCAGTTTGCTGATCGACCATTTGAAGAGTTACAAATTAAATATTTTCAATTATATTTATCAATGATAATTATCAATGATAATTATCGTTTCGAACCCTGATTTAAACACAGATTACTCCGCCACTACACTTGTAAGAATTTTTTATTGTAATGTGTTTCATATTTCATTTTCACAGAGTTTAGCTCGTTTTGTCCCTGTGTTTTTCGGAAGAGATATAAAATTTGTGTTTTTTTTTTTCAGAAAATATATACAATAAACCTATGTATATAATTATATAGATAATCTTAAAAAGTAAAACCTTATCTAAATACAAAATTTGATCCAAATCGTTAGAGCCGTTTCCGAGACACACCAAATAAATTTACATATAATCAAAAATTGATTGTTTAATATAATAAGATATTATTATTATCATACTTTTATAAAATCGACATGACATAGTTGTGATGACTAAGAGATGAATTAAGAATTATGTTTTTAATAACAAGATTAAAGACACTGGCAGTTTTACGTCACTAACGTGTATATAATTCAAAGATAAATTAACAGATTAATAGCCATATTAATAATATGTTAATACATATGTAACTGAGTGACGCGACAAGTAGGTACGAAAAAATCATTAATTTTGTTATTTGTATTCAATTTAAGAAAACCTTTAAAAAGTCTTATCTTACTGCTACCTACTATATAAATGCGAAAGTTTGGATGGATGGATGTTTGTTACTCAATTACGCCAGAACGGCTGAACGGATTTGGATGCAATTTGGCACAGAGATAGACTATAGTCTGAAATAGCACACAAGCTACTTTTTATCCCGGAAAAATATATGATCTCGTGGGATAGAATTGTTTTTGTTTTTCACTAGTGAGACGCTAGTCCATACTAATATTATAAATGTGAAAGTGTGTTTGTTTGTTTGTTTGTTTGTTTGTTTGTTTGTTTGTTTGTTTGACTTTCTTTCACGTCGAAACGGAGTGATAGATTGGCGTGATTCTTTGTGTGGAGATAGTTGGATGGCTGGAGGGTGACATAGGCTACTTTTTACCGCGGGAGTTTACCTAATTTCCACGGGAGAACACTTTATAATACAACCCAAAAAAATATTTATGATCAGAATTACTTGAAACTTGATATTAATGCTCTTCAATCAAATTAAATAAATACTTACATGCTTTAGCATTTTTCGAAATTCATCCTATAAGAGGGTGAAATAGGGGATGAAAGTTTGTATGAAACTACCTTTTTAAAGATTTTTCGTAGTTCTAGCGCGAGCGAGGCCGCGGGGTTCTGCTAGTATATCTATATATCTATCTACTAATGGGCCGAATTTCACCAATAACTAAATTATAATTAGTATGCTATAAGGGTTTTGTTAATGTATTTATTTATAAACAAAACAAGATATATTAGTGTGTATAATACAAAGTCGCTGTTGGCTTTAAAGAAAATCAATATTATTTATTTATTTACAGAGAAAACATGCCCTCCCACTTCAAGGTTAAAGAGTACTGTCCACTCGTGTTCAGAAATCTTAGGGAGAGGTTCGGTATTGATGATTTAGACTACAAGGAGTCATTGACAAGGTATGAAGCTTTTGTATCGACAAACGTATCGACACTGCTGCGGCACGTGTGAAACGCTAACGTATTTTATATAACTGTGATATATTTATGTATATTTATTTCTATCCCATATTATTCGGACTGGTATCCCGTTCCCACCTATCCCATCCTTAGGTTTGGAAAACCAGATAACTACCTGTGCTCGAGACGAGTGAAGAGCTTTAAAAGTATGCTGAAGCGATCTTCAACAGCGCCTTCCGGTATAGCAGATATGAAAAGTGAACACCAAGAAGGCTTGTTCCACGATGCAAGTGAATTCGTCAAGCGCGGTTTGACGATAAAACGACTGAGGTCAGCGGAGTTTCACTACGCTGTATGATTTTTCTTTCTAAATAACAATTTTTAGTGTGCCTCTAAACTTACACGGCGTTCATCCATATATCACTTGGCTGCTGCTGTGAATCGTTGCCTTAACAAAAGCACTCATGAATATGAAAATTGCATAAGCGTGTATTTGTGAGTTGAATACGATTGAGATAGTCGGTTTTTGTGAGAGCCCTTTGGTTTTGTTTTATAAAACCGACACTACACCACGTTTCCTTATATCCTTCGATTTGTATCCCTTGAATCCTTCATATCATCGCCAAATTATATATGTATGTATTATATATACACAATATCGGCAAATTACTTTGCACTATAATGCTGCAATTTGTACTGTGTAGGTGAGTTATTTAGGCACAATCAATAAAACACAAGACACAAATGTAAAAATACTTATGAAAATAATTTTATTAGCACATCAAAGTTATTACTAGATAGATGCACCTGACACTAATAAATGGTAGTAGATTGGAGAGGACTAAAAATGATGAAAAAAAAGAACTGTCTATTTGTAACGTAATCGTCTATATTACAGTTAGAAGTCTCGTTACATTAAATGACGATTAAAATCATTATTAACTAGCGATTTACCCTCGCTTTGCTCGAGTACGTCCATCTAGGTAGGTACGATTTAATATTTTTGAATGAAACTAATTCTTTTTCTAAAATAAAAGTACACTAAGTTACTCCTCATAATATTAGTTCTGTGCCAGTGAAAGTTCCGTTAAAATCGGTACAGTTGTTTCGGAAATTAGCCGGAACAAACAGACAGTTGTGTTTTTCTAATAAGTACTGTATATAATTTCATATGTATTTAATAAAAAACAGTTATTTTGACATACATAAAAATATAAACCCAGAGTAGGCGATAGGTAAAATCGTTTAAAGGATATGGACGTCGAACTATGTATATGGAGATGGACTATTATAAAAATCTATCCTCGTATTCTAATAAATTGAAATATATTATATTAATTTAACTATAGACAATCAAATAAGCAGTAGACTAATAACTTATTAGGGTTAAGCAAAACAAATCGACTCTTCACATAATAATAATCCCAAGTGTTTCATAGATACGAAACTTTGTTTCTTCATGTATTCGTCTGTTCTATTAATAATTGTGTTTTGAGTGATACTTGTTAATAACTTTTCTTAGTGTGGTCCTTTCATTTTTATTGATAATTTAATTTTTTTTGTGTTGATTGAAAAGAATATCGTAAGGTACTTGGAAAGGTACAGGATATTTTTAACTGTTTTGGCAACTCTAATTGTAATTACCAACAATTTTTATGTAGACTTATTTTATTGTTGAAATATTTTGTCGCAAATGCTAGTTTTATACTAAAGTTACTGTATAGAAGGTTAGCTCTATTGAATTTTATATATTTTTAAACCGTCAAAGTTGAATCCCTCTTTGTTAAGTAGCGCGGAAAGTGCTGTTCATGGCTTTTAATTTTAAAACCTACACAACAAAATAAGTTCCATTGAAATCCATCCAACCGCTTTCAAGAGGATTAAACAAACAGATAAAATTTGTTTTTAATTCCAAAATGTTATCATGTTTTAAAGTACGAATATTTTATTATCTGTATTTATGAATCAGTTTATTAAAGAGAAATACTCGCGGGCTTTATCGCACATAGAAATCATAATGAAAGTTAAACTAAAGATATATATACATACGTTCTATAAATTATTGTTAATTTTTTATAAAGCTACCGTTGAATGTTATATGAATAAAGCAAAATCCTATCGGAATTGTCATCAGATCCCAGCCAATACCTGATGACTCGTCAGGCAAGTCCGGTGCAAAGTTTTACCAGAGCTACGATAGGCTCTTCATCCTCAAGACCCTCACTTCGGAGGAGGTGGAAAGGATGCATTCATTCCTGAAGCACTACCACCCTGTAAGTAGTATTTAAGTTTTAAATTGTTTTCTTTGAATTGCATGCATTCAGCCCTTTTTAATGTACCACTTTTGGGCATGGGCCTCTCTCCGTTATTAATAATATACAATATTTATTTACAACAAAAAAAAAATATATAATGCCTAGATGTAATTAGAGCCCAGGTGGTAGAACTTTTACTTTGATTATTTTTCAGAATTTAAATTGATTTTTTCAAAAGCAACTCAATTAGCCGCTAGGGAAATTATTGATTCGAAAATTATTTTTGATGAAAATGATTCTTTTTTATGGAAATTAGCTTGTGACTCATTTAAACATCTTTCGTAATTCTTAGTTTCTTCTGTCTTCAATTGAAAAATACTAATGTAGAATACATAATTATAATTATTAATTAGCGATTTATCCGTAGTAGGTGTATATTTTTCAGAGATGAGATATTTTCCCGCAGTAAAAAGTATACTATTAACCCAGATAACCAGCTATCATCATACTAAATTTCATCAAAATCTGTCCAGTGGTTTTCTCGTCTGTCTGTCAACTTATCAAAGTTGACAGACAGACAGAAAGATAATTTTAAAAAACTAGATTCGGCCACTGTATCGATAATAATGACTATTTCAATTTTCATTCAAATTATTATATGTATAGATTTTAAACTATAATTTTATATTAAACCTAGTAATTCATTTGAAGTAGACAAAAGTCATAATCAAATATTAAAGAAAATCACGTGGATTTACTAGATTAAGTCTTCGGTAATCTGGTAAGAATTAGATTACAAATACCCTAAGTTTATTTTCCTTTGAAACAAGCTTATCGCGTTATCAAACGCTCTTGCTCATTGCTTACGAATTATGTTGGCACAGATTAAACATGATTAATGTTGATTTTTTTTTAATTTTTTTTCTTATTTGAAAAGAGAAGCTGTGGTTAAAAGATTTTATATTCTTGTTGTGACGTATTGAGTGATCATTTTTGTAATCTTTAATATCATAGTATATCTTATCAAATATTATTGACAATTCACAGAAATAAAAGACTAATAATATTTTATGAAATAGGATTGAAGAAATTTGTGTAGGTAGATACATTTATGTTATTTTTTACTATCGGCTTACCCTCGTTTCGCTCGGTACGTACGTCCCTACTCACTAGGTACGTTTCAATTTTTTTGAGCGGAACCCTAGTTCTTTTTCTAAAATAAAACTGGCTATCTGCTAGTGAAAGTCCTGTTAAAATCAGCCCAGCTATTTAGAAATTAACTGGAACAAATAGACAAACAGACAGACAAAACTTTTAAAAGTTGTGTTTTTTTATAAGTACTGTACCTATATAATTTCTTATGGATCAAGTAAAAAACTATTATTTTGACATTACAAACAGACACTTCAACTTTATTTATTTGTATAGACTGGTAAATTCTAGGTTCATTTAGTTTGTTTTTCCAAATTTTCTAAGAGTTTTAGTGTCCCAAAAAATATGACGGTTTTTAATTTTTATCTATACTAATATTATAAACAAGTAACGTTTGTGAGTTTGGGGTAATATCTGGATCTACTGAACCGATTTAGATTTGGTAAGAAGATAGTTTGAAACCCTGGAAAGGACGTAGGATACTTTTTGTCCCGAAAATCATCTTTTAAGGGGGGAAAATGGGGATGAAAATTGAACGAACGGCCCCGAGCGAAGCGAGGCTGAGTCAATAGTTTTGGATAAGGTTAGAGCATACTTTTGTTTAGTGTGTAGCCCACGCATGATCCTAAATATACTACAAAGTACTTATGAGTGGACAAGGAATATATGATTATCAGGGCGCTATAAGGGTTAAATTTGCTTTTTATAAGTCTTATAAATGTACAAGTATACAGATTATTATTATAATAGAACGACCTTCAGTTATAGCGTCTCTATAATTTTATTATACAGCCGATATTATAATTCTTTTCAGCTCGACAATATACACATAATAATAGCTCTGACTTGCTGTTATGTATGTCACAGCAAATATAGTATGGACAATAACTAATTATCACTATAGGATTCCCCTCGTACTGAAGGGAGGCCCGTGCCCAGCAGTGGGACGATAAAAAGGGCTGAATACATACATACACTATAGGATATTGATTAAAAAACGTAAAAAATGTTCTTATTTCATACATAAATAGTCAGGTTCAAAATATCGCTATAACTATTATATATTAGCAATACTTACCGCTCTCACTTTGCTTGAAAATCTCATCCCAGTTTTATCTCTCACCTACGAGAACCTTTTAGTTTTTTCGAAATGGAAAAAAATCTTACGTAACTTTGGAAGTGGTTTTCAGGAGTTTTCTTCCCCTTGTTAACCGACTTTTATCCTAAAAAATAAACTGATAGAAGTCACAATACTGCATTGCATACAAATAATTAGGTATCCTTAATTCGGCCTATTCTTTCGAAATTCGACCATAATAATTATTATTGAAAACATATATAAAAAAACGTGTATGTGTACTTATGTACGTATGTAAGAAGTTATACTTCTTTGGCGTAACAGAACAAAAATAGCTAAAGATTTCATCCCGTATGTCACAACTCTTTGTTTGTAAAAGGAATGCAGCTAACTTCGTCATGTCGCTTTTTGGCTGTCGGTGTGCGCGCGTTTCGTAAAAATTTTACTCTCATATTTTTTTCCAAACGTGATAAAAGAAGTATAACTTCAAAAATTAACTGTTTACAATTTTTTTTTGATAACACTAAAGCTCGACATTAGCTATTGACCAGAAAAGAAAATCGATTGACAAACAGAGGAGAAAAAGGTACTGAATGGATTTGTCTTTGCCTATATATATATATAGATTTATTCCTATACTATCAGAAACCGCGGCTTCGCTCGCGCTAAAATTACAAAAAAATCTCTAAAAAGGTAGTTTCATACACACTTTCATACCCTATTTTTACCCCCATATGGGATGAATTTCGAAAAATGCTTAAAACACATGTAGTTATTTAATTGTATTGAAGAGCATTAACACCAAGTTTCAAGTAATTCTGATTATAAATATTTTTTCACTTGTATTATAACGTGTTTTCGTGTGGGAATGAGATGATCTCCCGCGATAAAAAGTAGCCTATGTCACTCCAGCTCTCCAACTATTTTCAACCGACTTCAAAAAGGAGGAGGTTCTCAATTCGACTGTATGTTTTTTTTTTTTTTTTTTTTATGTTTGTTACCTCAGAATTCCGTCATTTATTAACCGATTTGGACAATTTTTGTTTTGTTTGAAAGGGTATACTTCCAGATTGGTCCCATTTAAATTTCAAAAAAAAAAACCACCCCTAAGGGTGGAAAAACAACTAATGATGAATTTAACCTACTTCTAATTGTCATATTGACTTGAAACTTTGCAAGTATTTCTATTTCCGTTGATAGTACAGTGGTTCGGTGTTGTTGACCTGATCTGATGGCAAGGCCAGAAGGTGGATAGGTGGAACTCTTCAACGGCTAATAGTAGATACTTTGAGTTTGGGCTTATTTTGTTTGATTTGACAAGCCTAACACGTTAGAATCCTTACTTTGCTACTACTGTCTACACTAAAAAGATAAAAATAAAAACTTTTTAACAAAAAAATAAAAACCGACTTCAAAAAAAAGCACTAAAAAGTAAAAAATAACTGATTGGTAGTTTTCATTTACTATACATACCTAATCAAATATTTTCGAAGTCGGTGTGCTTTGGCTAGGTAATTAAAGCCTACCTATTAAATACATACCTAATCAAATATTTTCGAAATCGGTGCCAGCCCATACAAAGCAAAGCACACCGACTTCGAAATATTTGATTAGGTATGTATAGTAAATGAAAACTACCAATCAGTTATTTTTTACTTTTTAGTGCTTTTTTTTGAAGTCGGTTTTTATTTTTTTGTTAAAAAGTTTTTCACACAAAAAATCACGCAAATCCGTTACTGCGTTTCGACGCGAAAGAAAGAAAACAAACAAACACACTTTCACATTTATAATATTAAGTATGGATAATTTTCATTAGTCTATGACTCAATAAGTTATCATTTTAAATAAAAGAATGTTTTAATTAAGGGAGGGTCGGACATAAACGTAAGAGGTAGCTATTATTTTGTATTGTGTAATTTATGCAAGTAGGGCAGACCTTTGGCTTGTTAGTTTACTACTTAGTGTGACATTTTATAATGCCTATTGAAACACTGAAATGAAATAACATTTCATTGTAAAATTTCGTTTTACATCTTAAGTGTCATTGACCTAGCAGTCTCGTCTATGGTTTTTGTGTTAAACGTTTTTTGTGTTTTTGCAAAATATTTTTTATAGAATCGTAATCTTTTGTTATTATATAAGTCGATAAGTTTAAACAATATCATTCTCAATGTTAGGAAAAATTCAAGCATGGTTTTAATCGATTTATTATGTTATGGCATTATGTTTTAATCGACATACGAATTATGAATACATAATTGTTTCATACAAGAAAATTTTTAAAAAATATAATAATGTATAAAATATAGTGTTTATTTGTGTTCTTCATAAAATATTTTTTTGGTGGTTATCGTCGTATTATAGGAAATCTAGAACAAAATAAAACAAATACAAAAAAGTTTTTATACATTTAGTGTAGTTAATACGGAATTAAAGATAAATATAAAATTATGTTTATTATATTATTTCTAATTTCCAGTACATTGTGGAAAGGCACGGCAAAACTCTTTTGCCACAGTACTTGGGCATGTATCGATTGACTGTGGACGGGATAGAGCATTATCTAGTCGCGACGAGAAACGTGTTCTCCAATCATCTTAATATACATAAGTAAATATTATTATACCTTATTATCTATATTGAAAGTATTTATATATATAAAAAAAAACAAATTTTTTCTTATTTTTTTTTGTGGGTTTCGAAATGAAAAATTAAGAAAATAAGGAATAAAAAAATCATGATTATTTGTGTCTTACAAAATAAAAAGTAATAATATATTAATTATTTTCAGGAAATATGATTTAAAGGGCTCCACGGTAGATCGTGAAGCATCAGAGAAGGAGTTGGAGAAAGAGTTGCCAACGTTAAAAGACAATGACTTCATTAAACAAGGAGTTCGCATTGACATTGGGGATGCTGCCAAGGATAAACTGTTGGAAACACTGACCGCTGATGTTGATGTAAGTAAATAGTTAACGGAAAAAAATAATCTATACTAATATTATAAAGAGGTAAAGTTTGTGAGTTTGTCACGTTGTAGGGGGTAATCTCTGGATTTACTGAACCGATTTAGATTAAATTTGGTAAGAAGATAGTTTGAGGCCCTGGAAATACATAGGATACTTTTTATTCCGGAAATCATCCCTTATGGAGGTGAAAATGGGAATGAAAGTTTGTATGGGGAAACAAGCTAGAGAAGAACCCGAGTGGAGCAAAGATGAGTCGCTAGTATCACTTTAATTTACTTTGTAAACATCACTAGACATATAGAGATGAACATACATATTATTCTATACATCTATACAGATAAATAAATTGAAGTGTTTGTTTGTAATGTCAAAATAACAGCGTTTTACTAAATGCATATGAAATTATATATGGTACTTATGAGAAAAACACATTTTTTTAATGTTAGTGTCTGTCTGTTTGTTCCGGATAATCTCTGAAACGGCTGGACTGATTTTGACGGGACTTTCACTGGAAGATAGCTGATGTTATAGGGTTATAACATGGGCTACTTTTATTTTAGATAAAAGAATTAGGTTTCCGCTCAAAAAAATTAAAACGTACTAAGGTCCGTCGCTAGTTCTATATAATAATTAGGGTTTAGGTCCCGAGACGTCTCGTGTCTCGAAGTCCCGGGACTTTTCGTAATTATAGTTGTCTTGAGTCCCGGGACTTTCGGGTCGAGCCTCGAGACGAGACAAGGTTATCGAAATTGTTATGTAATCATTTTCATTTTACTACAGGAAAATAAGCAAAAAAATTATCATAAAAGTCTCGAAGTCCCGGGAATTCCCGGGGCTTTGATTGTCGGCTGACTCGTGTTCCGGGACTTTGAAATTGTCGGGAATTCCCAAACTCTAATAATAATGTCTCATGTGTTATCTCAGTTCCTAACAAAACTGCACCTGATGGACTACTCGCTGCTGCTGGGCGTGCACGAGTGCGGGCGCGGCGAGGCGGAGGCGGAGGCGGCGCGCGCGCGCGAGGCGGACCCCGACACCGACGACACGGACTCCGACACCGACACCGACAACCGGCACGGCGACAGGTACTGTATATTCAGCCCTTTTTAACGTCCGCACTGCTGGGCGTGGGGCTCCCTTCAGTACGAGGGGGATCAGGCCATAGTCCACCACGCTGGCCAAGCGCGAGTTGGCGGACTGAGGCATGTCTTTTGAAAACTTGCTAAGTTCTCTCAGACATGCAGGTTGACTCACGATGTTTTCTTTACCGTTTGCTTGAGAAATCGAGTGAAACTGGTTCGAATCTGGGTCATGAATGTTTTATATTTTCATGTGCGAATAATATGCAACATTACATTATCACTTGTCTTACTTACGGTGTGTAGTCTGCCAACCCGCATTTGTTTAACGTGGTGAACTATGATCTGATCCTCCTCCTATATCAGACCTTCCTTGAGATATAAGCTATTAAAAAAATGTAGACAATGGATTAACAGGCAAATATATCACACACAACCCACCTTTTTCTAAATCGGTAAACAATAAAATGTACCTAAACTTCACAGATGGGGCTACAACACGCCGCCGGACAGCCCGCGCGGGCTCGGCCGCCAGTCCTCGCTGCGGTACGAGGGCATCATACCCGAGCTGGACATATACGCTATACCCAGCCATGATGGTTGGTGGTTATTTTGTCTTATTTGTAGTTAGTAAATAATTAAAAAAAACCAGCCGACTTCCAGGCACTAAAATGTAAAAAAAACTAAACGAGGGTTTTCATTTAGAATAGATACCTATTCAGATATTTTCGAAGTCGGTGCCAAGTACTAAATATACCAGGTACCAAGTCCCTTCGGTTAGTAAAAAAACGTGTGTGTGTAATGTGTACTCACGTACGCACGTAAAAAGTTATACTTCTTTGGCGTAACGAAACAAAAATAGCTGAAGATTTCATCCCATTGTCACAACTCTGTTTGTAAAAGGAATGCAGGTAACGTAATCATGCCGCTTTCTGCTAACTTCATCATGTCGCTTTTTGGTTGTCGGTGTACACCGCAAGGTATAAATTTTACTTTCATAGTTTTTTCTAAACGTGCTAAAAGAATAATAAGGTATAACTTCAATAACTAGCGACCTACCCTCGATTTGCTAGAGTGCGTCGTCCTTCTCGAGGGTAGGTGCGTTTTATATAGATAAGAATAGTTATTGTGAATGCACCTTAGAGTTAAATTTCTAAGGATGAACCAGAGAAAGATAACCAGTTATAGTTTTCCCGTGCGAATGAAATATTTTCCTGTAGTAAAAGGTATCCTAAATGTTGACTCGACTAATAGGTTATCACTACACAAAATTTAGTTAAAATCGTTACAGTACTTTTTGCTTGAAACGCTCACACACTAACAGATATACAGACAAATACATAAAATAGGCCTAAAGAAAAATCTGCAATAACATAAGTCTTTCTCCTAAGGTACAATAACTATTTATATGTATTGAAATTAGGTACCTACGCACCCGAGCGAAGTGAGGGTAAGTCGCTAGTATAAATATAAATGATGTATTAACAATAGTCTGTACTCAGTGTATTATTAGTTCATTTACAAGCGGGCATTACTTTATTATTTATTAGCTGTATTAAGATAATATTCAAGTTCATAATGTAATAAAATATATGTATACTAGCGACTCACCGTCGCTCCGCTCGGGTTCGTCCCTGGGATGGGGTCTGGGAGGACCACCCTTATCCTTATCACTTAGGGGTATGGAAAATAGATAGTAGCCGATTCTCAGACCTACTGAATACGCATATAAAATTTGGTAAAAATCGGTAAAGCCGTTTCGGAGGAGTACGGTAACTAACATTGTGACATGGAAATTTTATATATAAGATAATGTTTATGTTACAGGTGCTCCCAAGAAAGAAATATATTTTGTTGCTTTAATCGACGTTTTGACACACTATGGAGTTAAGAAACAGGTATGTTTTTCAAATTTTCTATCAATGTTTCTGATTTTAATTTAACTTTTGTTGAAGTATTACAACACATTTTTTGTATAGATTAAAGTATTCACCATGAAACAATATGAAATTGTTTCATAGGATTGTAAGTAATCCAAACTACGTATAATCCTTTCTTAGATTTACGCGAATATTTGACATCTTAAATAAAAGCATCTTTTTGGATTTTTTTTCACGGATTTATTTTAGAACGCGAAGAAATTCGAAAAGATAGTTTTATTTTAAACCATTATGTCATATTGGTTGGGTAACTTAGAAAACGGATTGTAATATATTCTTCATTTTCAGGCAGCAAAAGCAGCTAAAACAGTCAAATACGGCAGCAATGTGGACGGGATTTCAACCTGCGACCCGGAGCAGTATGGCAAGAGGTTCATAGAGTTTGTAGCCAAAGCTATAGAGGGCAATTAGATGTATGCAAGCTGCCTCTTTTAGTGCAATATGCTGATTTGTATAATATTAACTTTTTTTTTATATGTGTAAAAAACATAAAAATTGCATCTAAAATGTTAAATCAAAATTAGTTTATGAAAATGTAAACCATGAGTTGTGTGTTATTCTGACATTTTATTAAATATATTACGTATATTCTATGTCGTGGGTCCGGTTTCTGGGAAAAGAAATATTTTCTAAAAATCACAGGAATATATCTATGTTAAGACTACATGTGTTCAGTGATAGCTGTGGACGATATATATAGTGAAGCTATAATTCCTATATAAATGTCTTTTTGATGTGCACTGTAAAATGTGTGAGTTAAATAAAAAAATAATAATAATAAAAAGTAATAGATAAAATAAATAAAATAACTTATTTAATTGATATTGCAGTTCCAAATACACACAATATAATATATTAATAATAATATGTCAAACAATAATTAATGAGAATTTTGAAAGAAAAAAAAAATGCAAAATAATAAAAACTAAAAAATTTTTTTTTATAAATTACATCCAATATTTTAATAATTACCCTTTTTATTTATTTATTTAAAATGCCTTTATTTAATTACGATTTTTGTAACATTTTAGATGCGACTTGCTTATATTTATATAGTTTTTAATTATTCTTCGTTACATTTATGTAATGTTATTTTTAAAATATAATATATTACTTATTACATATTAATATGAAATATAGTAGTTTATATATTTAATTTAATGATTATTATTTAATATAGGATGTTGTACTATGCACTATTGGAATGTCTATATTATGTGAAATTTATTGTTCTATTAATTATAATGGTGAAAGTAAATATTATTTGCACATTATTTTAAAATGTCACGTAAAAATATGAATATATTGTTGTATTGAATTGAATTCTTGGTTTTTATGTTTATATATTTTACGGTAACATCGAAACATTCATTATTGTCAATATTTAATTAAACTTATTGTTATAGGATCGCTTGAACATGGATTCGACAGGGTTTTATTGAACTACATTTTTTTTTGCACTAAAAGAGGCATAAAATATTTGAATTTGCTATTAAAAGTGATCACTAAAGCTTTGATGCTTAAAAGAGAGAATACATTAATTGATTCTTTATAATAAAAACGTTTCTCTATTCCTACTTGCGTAGGTTTTGTTTCAAGTACAGATTTAAAATGTTTTTTTTTTTATTGTCATGTGAAAATTATTATATTTCGTGTGGATATCAGATAATCGGTAATGTGCGAGAACTGTGTAACAAATACCTTTTTAAATTCTAAAATATAGACATCTTAGTAAATTTTCATTGCCATGACATGTGGTACTTTCATATTGTATGTCGCAGGGAAATTGTAAGATCTGTTGAATATATATACCTAAAAATGTCCCGTGATATCGTATACAGACAATAATCCGGGTATTTAAAAAAAAACTATTTTTTCAGGCTATTTCGCGGATTTATTGTGATTTTTGGTTCCCGACGTTTCGAATGACAGTGTTTACCCACAAAATTTCTGATGTAACACTGCATTCGAAACGTCGGGAACCAAAAATCACAATAAATCCGCGAAATAGCCCGAAAAAATAGTTTTATTTAAAATGTTAAATATTTGCATACAACTAAACAAGTATTAATACTCCGGGAAGTTATAATTTAACTAGTGAAATTGTTATTGAACGGACCTTACAATTTCCCTACGACATATAATACTTTAAACTTTCTCTAACTCCTGTTTTACTTTTACTATTTTGTTCCATATAATCTGATATCCCATTTAGTAAAACCTAGTGGTTTTTTAATATTACCTGAAACTTAACTATTCAATGAAATAAATATCTGATTAATATTATTCAATAAATAGCAGTTGTCAATTTTGCCTATTTATGGCTTTTGTACATTTCATATGAGATATGTAAATTCAAGAATTGTACACTATTTCAAGTAATTCATGACTCATATTGGAATGACAATTTTTATAATTCTAATTAAATAATGACATTTTAAATAAAAATATCGGATGGCTTGAAAATCACCATACTATTAATTTAAACATCTCTAGGGGTGGATTTTCTTCTAGTTAAATGGGACCATCATCGAGGTCTATGGAAAAAAAAACGAATTCAAAATTATTTAAAATACAGAAATTTTTCCTCCTTTTTCGAAGTAGGTTAGAAATGATGTGTTTTTATAATATTATAGTTTTTTCATGTGGAAAAACTCGCAAGTTGTAATATTTACGGTTTAAGCTGTATTACTGTTGATCTTTGCTTTCTCATTAATATACCAAAAAAAAATTTCATAAAATTAGCACCTCCTCCTTTTTCGAAGTAGGTAAAAATAATGTGTTATTATATTATTAACAGTTTATAATATAAGTTTCTTAATGGGGAAAAACCTTCAAACTGTAATATTTACAGTTTAAGCTGTATTACTGTTGATCTTTGCTTTCTCATTAATATACCTAAAAAAAAATTGTCATTCCAATGATGAAGTCTCGAAAATGTTTGAACTGATATTAAATCTATAGGTAAAATACATTGCAATAATTTTCAAACCGTTATTAGCTTTTATAATGTTCCGCTATCTTAGTATAGTAATAATGAATATTGTTAATATCATTGAAATAATATTTTCTAAGTTAAAATATATATGTTAAATGCTGAATTTCATGTAAAGTTACGATAAATGGCTGTTTTATAAAGCGTTATAAATATGCCAGCGCGGGATTCACTATATAATCGTCGTTTTGCCAATTAAATAGTTTGCTTAGTATCTTTCTAGTGTACTGTAAAACTATATTGTAAGAATTTGTTATTTATTATTCTATAAAGAATTAATTAAGACTTGGATTGTTATGGTCTTTGTGATGTTATTCTGTGAATATCAATGTATAACGCAGTTTGTCGATTTTATCGGAGAGGCGATGTTTCTAAATCTTAAGTTTCAAGTGGAATCACGTGTAATTTTGTTTAATGGAATATAAAATTTTGATAAATGAAAACAAAATCAGTATTTAGTTGAGAACCCTTTAAATAATTCTCTCAAATATAGCTTTTGTGATAGTTTTTTTTTCTTAGAATGTAATTATTGTTATCTAGATAAGACGCGCCGTCACTTTAATCTGTTTTAAAATTAAGCACATTTTAACACACAAATATGCAAAGTAATTGTAAGCGATGTTCTTGGTATAAATGTTTTGATCTGCTGATTGTTAATTAATGATTTTTTAAAATTTTAATATCGACATTAATTCCTGAACAATGCACTCTATATGGAACAAAATAATTAAAATTATATAAAGAATCGAGATTTTTGATTGACTTAATATTAATAATGTAATGACATAATGAGAAAATATTGTCAAATAATGGTTATAGTTATTTTGTTTTATGAGAAGTACACTATAATTGAATATGTCGTATGTGTTGCCATTGTTTAGGTTGATAATTAATATAACAATAGGTTATAATTTTGTTAACGGTGAAGGAAATGTAAAGAGATGGGCGATTATAAACTACTTACCCAATTAATAATATAAATAAATAGTTATTTAAACTTTTTTAAACTTGATCGAATGGATACTCCTTCAGATTTAAGTTGTCATAATGTCGACACATTTATGAACTTCTTATAATATTATCATGCAATGGCAGAAGCCAGAAACCTTTTTTTATATTTATGCGATTTTATCACGAATTTTATTAATCGCTCATTTCTAAGCTATTACGCCTGTAAAGGCTCATTAAAATATGGATGCTTCGCTAATAATCGGCATGTAAGCAAAACGTTGAAATGTTATTTCTCTAGTCTCCTCTTGTAAAGACATTGTATGGAAAAAAATATTAAAACTTTAATTTTTTAAATATTCGGTTTATAAAATTTCTGCAATTATTGTTTTATTTAACCCATTCCTCAGGGCAAGTGACATTTGCACAAATAACACACTTCAATAACTAGAGTTATTGTGCGAATTACTTTTTATATAGGATAGATTGAAAATGTTGCACCCAATAGTTATTTTATAAGACTACTATTATAATTGTGAAAGTTTGTGTGTTTGTTACTCTATGCTTAAACGGTTGGACGTATTGGGATATAATTCAGTATTAATAGGTTATGATGTGGAATAAAACAGTATTTAATAAGTGTAAAATATATGTACTTCAACCTATACTTTCAAATAAACTAATCTATACTTGTGTATTATAAGCATGGTCATAAATTATGAATAAAGAAAAAATAGTTCCGAAAAATATCAATAGATGGCATTACGTGTATTAATAGGTTATTGAACTTTGTGTAAAATTATAAAGTAGATCCTTGAAAGTTATGTTATGCTTAAAAAATCTGTACATAAAGGAAAATGAAAATATATTTAACTTCCATATAAATTATTAAACGGGAATATTATCAAAATAAAAACAAATATAATTTTAAAATTTTATTTGTAAAATTATTATGTTTGATATCATAACCTAATCCATTCTTGTTTTAACATGTTTCTCAGTAATCTTATCTTTCTCAATAATGTACACCACAGCTCCCCAACCAGAGATGGCATCACGGTCGGCTGCATTCACTAATGCCTGTAATATAATATCAATTTTTAAAACACAATAGTCATACTACCTAGAACATAACATTTGAGAAATGCATATTTGCATACCATATGCTTATATACAGATGCTTTAGTGGGGCTGGGGACTCGTGGGTTAGAAAAGCCAATACTACTCAGTAAAACCCATCAAAACCTTCGCTGTTTTAATGGAGTGCTGAAGCATCACTGATGCACTCAATCACTTTGTTTTGAGAGCTATGCTACTTAATACCTACAATATATAAGATTGGATGGTGGCATTTATAAACAAAATATAAAAATATTATTTTACTATTAAATAAAACCATATATATAATATTATAAATGTGAAAGTTTGTGAGTATGTATGGATGTGTTACTCTATTGGGTTCAATTGGGTCCTTACCCTACAATTGGGTCAATAAAAACAAAAAATGTATTATTGACTTCAACTAGCATCTTTGAAACATTAATATTTTAATATTGTAAATTAAACTTACTTGTGAAATGGTTTCAAACAACTCGTCAGGCTTTAGGTCGGGTTCCCACAGAGCTTCACACATACCATATAACTGATCAGTACAAGTACCGGACACTACAAAGTCTTCAGGTTCATTAGGACAACCAATCTAAAAAAAAAACAATATAAATTGATTTCTTTTCATAGGTGTTTCAGACATAAGTCAAACAAAATAATTTTTAAAGAAATGTATTTGGCCCTATTTGACATCCCACTGCTCTGATGGGATGGCAGACTTCACATATCTTTCGAAAACTTGCTAGGTTCTCTCAGATATTCAGGTTTCCTTATGGTGTTTTCCTTCACCATTAAAAAAGTGATAATCATGATGATTCATATAGAAAATACTTATCAAATGTGCAAAACTCAGGATTTGAACCAGCTTTACTTGGAACCCTAAGTGAGTGTGTTACCAATGCATTACCACTGCCTAGCTTTCTTAAAGAATATCATTATTAATTTCAAGTATATTATACTGTTCATTTGGAGATTCTTATTTTGACTACAATTAAACAAAATGATTACCAGATCCATATTGCAGACATAAGGTTTGTTATCAATGGGGTCCAAGCCAGCAATGACAGGCTCAATGAAGTAGGGACCAAAGCGTCTCTCATATAATAAGTTTGAAAGCATTGCTGAGAATGTTTTTGGTCTCATCACACGGTTTTCTTTTAGTTCATATAAATTCATTCTGAAAATATAAATCACATTCTTAGTTTACATGAATAAGGCTTAGATTATTAAATATTATTTAAGGGTAAGTATTGCCTTTCACTGATATCTAAGGATGTGTTACACCATAACTAATAATTAATATTGAATTAGAGACAATAAAAACAACAAATAATAGAGGTATAATGAATTATGTTTTAGGACAAAGGTAACAGTTAAAAGTTTTTTGTAGTTGTCCATTTTAAATGATTAAACATACCTAAATTTCAACCTTTGATGCACTGTCTGTGTGTCAGTTGCTAAACCAGGAAGGCCAACAAAGAGTGTTGGACCCATTTGGTATACTTTTGGGAAATTTGTAGATACAGTCTGGGCCTGGATACCATAGCGTTTGTCTGTAGCAATCGCCACACAATCCTTGCCTTTCATAGCAACTACAGCACCACCATTGTATGCTAGAATAGACTGCAAAATACCGAAACATGCTTTTAATTATTTTTTTAAATAATTTATTATTAAATTCGTAATCTAATAACAAGTTACATTTATTTACAAATATATATTTTGTATTTTCATTATAATTTATATACATTTTATAGAAAAATGATTCTTTAAAATGCTAAATAATATTCATGACGCTCAAAAGCAAAGCCGGGTAATTAAAAGTCATAGCTTATATTATTGCTGTTGTAACTGAGGTAAACAATATTTACTTACCATTTTCTACTTTTCTAATTATCTTCCTTTTATACTTTTAGATATACGGTTGTAAATACTCGAATTATTACAATTGTGATATTTCGAAAATGAAAAATGACATATCATTGGTCATTCTACAGATAAAATATACATAATACAATCGTGTTTAATGTCACAGGTAATGTATAACGCACATATTTTTTTATTTTGTATACGCTAAATATTTGTCAAAATCTATTGTTATCCCTAACCATATTAATATTATAAATGTGGAGGGCTGGAAAGTGACATAGGCTACTTTTTACCGCGAGAAATTATCTCTTTTCCACGGGAAAACACGTTATAATACAATCCAAAAAATATTTTTGATCAGAATTACTTGAAACTTGGTATATATGCTCTTCAATACAATTAATTAAATACGTGTTTTAGCATTTTCCAAAATTCATCCCATATGGGGGTAAAACCTATCATTTTAGATTTTTTCGTAGTTTTAGCGCGAGCGAAGCCGCAGGTTTTGCTAGTTTAATTTAAATGATCTTTTTAAAGATAATTCTATTTAAATTGTATTTCCTCGAAGTCATTTTAAAATTAAAATATAACCAATATTATGTTCCTTCGCCTCCCTTCCCTCGCCTTTTCATTTTGATTGTTGGTGTAGTCACTATTTAGTTGTAAACCATTTTTAATTCAATTCAAACTTTGATTACATTGAATTAACTTTTATTGCTACATTTTTAGTCCAATCGGAATCCGGTTTGGGAACAAAATATTGAAAACCTGAAGTTTTATGATTTTAAAATGTTAGCTGGTATATAAGGAATAGAAGTTTTAAAATAGAAGGAAGTAAAAACAGCTTTTAATTTACTTTATTATTGTGTGTAGAAAGTGCTCTTGCGTATACATCTAAACGAGAAGTCATATTGAATCCCCATAAATCCTTCATTTGTCGACATAAGTTTAAATCTATTTCAGTAATAAGGAGACCATCTTTATCCTTGGAAAGTCCTGGTGTCCTGCATCCATTAGGAGCCGTGACATAACTAGAACCATAATAGGTTCTAATTTTCTTTTCGTTACCTGTAATAAACTCCTCTGATCCTACTCTGTTTATACTACAAGTAAAGTAGTGATTAGCAATCGCTGCATTACGAGCTTCAACGCCCCAAAACGCTTCACCAAACTCTCCTATCGTAGCAGCAGGGTTAAAAACGATCTCAGCCCCATTTAGGGCAAACATAAGCCAATTTAACGCATGATGGCGTCCATAACATATGTTAACAGCAATTTTTGCATATTTTGTAGCAAAAACCGAATGTCCTAGCCCACCAGGTGAATAATACGGTGTCTCATTAAAACTACCTACAGAGGGCAAGTGATTTTTACGATGCTTTCCCATGTAACAACCGTTTTCATTAATTACAACAGCGGTATTCCACCACAAGCCTTGGTCATCTATTTCTAAAATGGGAGATATAATCACCATTTTGTATTTCTTTGCTAATTTACTAAGAAACATCGTACTCGGCCCGTCACTAGCAGGTTCGGCGAACTCTTTCCAGTTTTCTTTATCTTTGGTACATAGAAAAAATGGCATCGTCCAACATTCTTGTAAACAAAGAATGCGCACATCTTCTGATGCGGCAACATCAATAACTTTCTCAATTTTATCATATATAGCTCGTCTTTGTTGATTTATGGGCTTATCAGTTGGCAAAACAATTGAGTGCTGAATTAAGCCTAACCTTAAAACATTAGGTTTTCTAACCTCTTCATTAGCAGCGGAGAATGAGTATGCCGATACTTCGAAATTATTTTTCCAACTATCCCTTTTCGTAGATTCTTTTAGTTTCAGTTCACAGTGATCTTCTCTTCCATAATATATCTTATTAAATTTCCTTAATTGATCATTATTTAAACGTTTTTTAATTATATTGTCCAGACAGTCCATGTTAGCACTTAACAAATAATTATGTAACACACACTACGTAATCAGTATGCACTGGCTCGATATTGAGAACAGGCTACAAGCGTATTGATAGTTTGTACCGGTTGAAAACATGATAAATTAGTATAAATAACTCTACGACTATAGTGAATCGTTATTTATATTATATAAGAGCTCGTTTTAAGGATTATTTAAAATAATAAGTGTAAGACATGAAAATATTTGATACTAGCGGCTCACCCTCGCTTCGCTCGGGTTCTTTCTAGAGAAACAAAAACAAATCTATCCCTCAGTAATCATATATTTTTCCGAGAAAAAAATAGCCTATGTTTTATTCTAGACTATAATCTATCTCTATACCAAATTTCATCCAGATCCGTTCAGCCGTTCTGGTGTGAAAGAGTAACAAACATCCATACTCTCAAATTTTCACATTTATAATTTTAGTATATAGATTTAGTATATATATACAGATTTTAAAAATATAAGGTTAATGTAGAATATCTTAACTATTTTATTTTTCGAAGATATATTATAGTAATTTAATAAAGCTTATTCGTACCAAAATATTTCTTTATTTGAGTCGTCAACAATAAACGAAAACTAAGTAATAAAAAATTTCATTACACACATAGGTATATTTCCCAGTATAAATAATAGTAATACCTACTTATTAGGGAATTGTAAATACATCTTTACAGTTTCATTTTGTCACGTATTTCTAAGTTTTGTTTACGAAGATAAGCTAAATATTTTTCTCTCAGTTTTGTTTGAGCTTATCGCGGGGGGCTAAGGTCATAAGTACCTACTGGTAAATATAACCAACACAAATCAAGTATCCATCTTAGTACATGCAGTATAACCGGTGTGGCTATTTAAAGGCGCAAATGATCGAGAAACATCAGTTTTTAACGTTGACTCTGTAGCGGCCGGTAATATATCGCAATGGACGGAGAAACGCACAGCCTTGAAGCCATTATTAACAACAACCTTAGTGGTCGAGATCTGGAAGAGTTCAACAGGATCTACTATGGTAGAAAGAATCATCTAGAAATTAATATTAAAGACTCATCTATTGCCGCTGCTAAAGACAACGATTTTGATATCGCGGCCTACGCATTCCCAGCGAAGAGAGAATCCACTAGACCACCGAGGATTGTCAAAGTAGGTATTATACAACATTCGATTGCCGCACCAACTGATCGTCCGATAAATGAACAGAAAAATGCAATTCTCGCCAAAGTAAAAAAAATCATCGATGTTGCCGGTCAAGAGGGTGTCAATATTTTGTGTTTCCAAGAATTATGGAATATGCCATTCGCTTTCTGTACTCGCGAGAAGACACCATGGTGTGAATTTGCCGAATCTGCAGAAGAAGGTCCTACTACACGCTTCTTGCGCGAATTGGCCATTAAATATTCGATGGTAATAATTTCATCTATTTTGGAGAGGGATGAAAAACATGCCGACATTTTATGGAACACTTCAGTTGTTATAAGCGATTCCGGTAATGTTATCGGCAAACATCGTAAAAACCATATTCCAAGAGTTGGAGATTTCAATGAATCTAATTATTACATGGAGGGTAACACAGGGCACCCTGTTTTCGCTACGAGATATGGTAAAATCGCTATAAATATCTGCTTCGGACGTCACCATGTTCTAAATTGGATGATGTTCGGACAGAACGGCGCTGATATCGTGTTCAATCCATCAGCGACGATTGCCGCAGAAGCTGGAAGTGAGTACATGTGGAATATAGAAGCTAGAAATGCTGCAATCACAAACTGCTATTTCACTGCAGCAATTAACAGAGTTGGATACGAAGAGTTCCCCAACGAATTTACTTCTGCTGATGGTAAGCCCGCGCACAAGGATTTGGGACTTTTCTATGGCTCCAGCTACTTTAGCGGACCTGATGGCGTGAGGTGTCCAGGACTTTCACGCACTAGAGATGGTCTTCTTATTGCGGAAATGGACTTAAACATGAACAGGCAAATTAGAGACCGTCGCTGCTATTATATGACCCAGCGTTTAGATATGTATGCGGAGAGCCTACAGAAGGTTCTAGATATAGACTTCAAGCCACAGGTCGTTCATGAAAATGATAAATAAGAAAAGCAAATAAAGGTTCGGTATTCTTCAGTATACGTATAATGTTATTGATGAAGCAGTAATTTTTTATATTATTTTGTATTTTTCTTAATAAAAGGCATTTTCTAAAATGGGTTTTCATTTTATTTTAAGAATATAAATTAGTATGTTTATATCTTGCAATAATTGTATAATAATTATCAATGAAATGGCGATAAAAGACCTATAGTAAATGCATTGATAGCTAATAATTATTACAATACATGAAACTTTAATTTAAAACTAGCACTGTCCGCGGCTTCGCCCGCGTTCAGATGATCAAAAATCAAATTCTTAGGTTTTATATATTAGTATACTCTTTACATTGCAGTTTTTGTATTTTTTCTCAGAAATGAGACATTTTGCTGCGGTAAAAAGTATCCTATATGTTGACCCGGATAATCAGCTATCACCATTTCAAATTTCATCAAAATTCCCCTAGTGGTTTTTCTGTGATGCGGTAACAGACTGACAGACGGACAAAAATTCTGAAAACTATAGATTCGGCCTCTGTATCGATAATAATGTCTATTTCAATAAGATTTTCCAAAAAATATTTAATGTACAGATTCGGCTTCGTTACAATTTTATTATTTGTATAGATTACATACATATATTAAATATGTACAATGTACATTGTACATACGTTATCTATGCATTATTTTCAGTTATTTGTAAATGGTGGTAAATAATAACTTTTGCTATAGGTATATTATAAAATTAACATTCTATCTATACAGATAAATAAAATTAAAATGTCTGTTTGTAATGTCAAAATAACAGCTTTTTACTAAATGCATATGGATGTGTACACGGTACATATACCAAAACAACATTTTTTACAATTTTTGTCTGTCTGTCTCTCTGTTTGTTTCGGATAATCTCTGAAATGGCTGGACCGATTTTACGGGACTTTCACGGGCAGATTACAGAGCAGTAGACGTGTATCAAGACCCGTGCTTAGTTAAATTTAAACTTCAGTAACTGTTAACTATTTGGTGTATATATATTGTAAATCTAGAGGAAGGTAACGGTGCTCGTAATACAGGTTTTCCTAGTACGAGTTTCTAAGCACGCTTACTGGATAATCTTATATTATTATGTCTTAAGCGAAACAGTTATGTAGAGTATATTTTTGTAACCTGATTTTTTGCTTCAAATAAAGATGATTAAATTATTATATGTATAATATTTTTGAAATAAAATAAAATAATATAAATAATACTATAATAAAGTCGGTCGGTTCGTAATTTTTAGTTTTAAATAAAAACTGAAATAGTTTTTGTAATAATTATTTCAGTTTTAGTTACAAGTTTTGGTCTATATCATAAAAACTACTAAGCCGATGTTGATGAAATCTTTACTATTCCCTAAATTGAGTCGAAGTTGAATGTAAGCAAATAAAAAAAGAAAAATCACAATCCAATTACTAGTTTTGGAGAAATGCGTGGACAAACATACATCCATACAAACATACATGAATAAATTCATACAACTATAAAATTTTGTATATTTGTTTGGAAGCACTAATAGATTATATCTTAAGTAAATATTTTGCAGTTCCAATACATATTACATATATACGTGTCGAATTGATAACCTCTTTGTTTTTGAAGTTGATTAAATAAAAACCATAGGTAGGTATATAAATAACAATATTCAAACCAATTCCGTTGTTAGCTTTTAAAATTATTCTATTACTGCAGTGATTAACACTGAGCTATTGCGTAGTTAATGTGGACAGGAATGAGTGATAAATATTAAAATGCCTAGATCTAGTCTACATCGCTAATGTACCTAGGTAGTGTTACGAATACTAATCAAATTGCGAGTTGTATATACTCGTAATAAACACACTTGCACTGGAGCGAAATCTATACATATAATAAAATTGTAACTAAGCCGAATCTGTACCTACATTAAATATTTTTTGGAAAATCTTATTGAAATAGACATTATTATCGATACAGAGGCCGAGTTAATAGTTTTTAGAGCAAGGATGAGTCGCTAGTACAAAATATTTTTGCTTAGAATAAACCCTAAGTTAAAATCAAGTAAGGTCTTTTGTGCGTTGTTTTAATTTTTGCATTATTTCATTGTTTTCTTATTGTCTTTTTAAAAATAACATATTGTTTAGTTTTTTTTTCTTGAGACAATTAAAAGATATGAGAGGTTTGTTTATTTTGTCATATATATGTTTTTAAATATGTACATATATTGTACATACATATCTATATACTTTAATCAAGTAAATTTTCCGTACGTATTATATGTATTATTATTTAGAAGGTATTATTTATGTCTTATTATTTGTATCGTTTTCTCAAACACTAGCAAGCTAGGCTCCGCTGTGGTGCGTTCCTCGTCATATACTCGCCTATATAAAATTTATATAAATAATATAATTTATATATTTTAATAAAAACATCAAAGGTAATGTTTGTAATAAATAATTCAGTACCATTCCTAGTGTATCAATTAATAATTAAGTATTGCACTTTCAAACGTGACTAGAGTTATAAATTCATATTTGTATATGGATATAATGTAGTTTATTTCATCTGCTTCTCGAATTTACCAGTGCATAGTTTTAAGTGCATTCATTTTTTTTTAGTTTAATAATATTTTCTTAGATTTACACGAATATTTGACATTTTAAATAAAACTATCTTTTCGGATTATTTCGCGGATTTATTTTGATTTTTGGTTCCCGACGTTTCGAATGCTTTACAACAATCATGGTCACGGGAGAGACTAAGGTTATAGACGTCTTAAACACATGTTCGTGTAGACAGTGCCTACCCACTATTTTACAAAATTGATTTGAAAAAATCAAAAATGGCACCAAAGTACGTCTGTCTGTAACAAGTGTATAATGCCTTTGAGACGTCTATAACCTTAGTCTCTCCCGTGACCATCGTCGTCGGGAACCAAAAATCAAAATAAATCCGCGAAATGATCCTAAAAGATAGTTTTATTTAAAATATTTTAGTTTAAATTATAATACATATATACAGACTATGTTTTATAAGTTCTTTATTGCGTCGTGATCCCAGACTTCATCCAGTCTCAAAATAAAACATATAAAGAAGAGCATCAACTAAAAGCCCGCAAATCTGAACATTATAATTCTGGTGCAATTTTCTCACTCCGAGAGATGTCGCTAATGTGTCGCTCTCGCGAGTGTCGCTCCATCTAGTCATTGTCAACACAAACTTACACTTTAACATTGTAGCACTCTATTGTGTTGCAATAAGATCGTTAATGCTTTGGCAAGTTGTAAGATAACGTGGTTAGTTTTGTAGAGCACTTGTAGAGTTGCAGCCCGTGACATCCATTACGATAATGATGTGTTTTTCGTAGGGATGTGGATTATTTTTATTATTTATTTTTGGCTTTTAGCTGTTTGTTACTTTAATTCGAAATGATATATGATTTTATAATTAATTATGCCTAATAAAAATGAAAACAAAAGTATCTAGAAACTTTATACAGATTTTTTTTGGTATCTATTAGATAATATATATAATAAATAAATAAACATACAAACAACGGATCAGAGCGATCCGAGACGAATCTATCTTTTTACCTGTCATAAGCTGTCTTTGAGAATCACATTTAATTTTTTGACAAACAAGTACCTACTTTAAATGCAATAATTATAATAAATATATATTATATACATTAAAAATATCTTAATTAAAAAAAAAACTTAAATAAATTTTGCAAAACTGATGAAGAAACGAGGATAAAGTAATTTATCCTCATTTTTTGTGGCAGCCCTGACCACAACTAGGTCGACTGCGGGCGGAAGTCACCGGAGCACTCGCTAAATGCAGCAGCCCTGATAGGTGCTTCATCTCACTTCCAAGTTTAGGTGTTTTATGCTTTAGGCACTTGATTCTTACGCAAATTATAACACGATATTACACTGCTACAATGTAAAATGGGATAGAGAATTAAATAATAACTAAAATAAAGGAAAGGGGAAGAAAAAATAAATTTGGCGCCTACTCTATCCTGTAATTTGTGACAGGTAATTTTTGTAATGATAGGAGTACCATCTCTAGTTGAAACAACTTACATTGCGTATTTTGCATCTACTTAGAAGTAATCATTATTTGGTTTAAAATTGTGTTGTTATATGAAGACGCACAAATAATAGAAAATATCGTTTTAATGTTTTTGTTTTTATTAATTTACTAGCATTGCCCGCGGCTCCGCCCGCGTTCAGATGACCAAAAACTAAATTCTTAGGTGTTACATATTAGTATACTCTTACATTGCAGTTTTTGTATTTTTCCTCAGAAATAAGATATTTTCCCGCGGTAAAAAGTATCCTAGGATCGCGCGCTACATCGCCCGGTTTATATAGCTTGAGCAGGCGGTCGAGCGATGCGGGGCAGAGGGGATGGACTCGCCGTAGGCATCTCAATGCTCGCCAAGCATTAAAAATGTTTCGCTACTAATTACTTCTAACAACGATATCTCAAAAACTATTCATCTGATTGATTTAGTGTAAAGAGCAATTTTAATCTGCATTAAATGACTAAGCTAACTAAAATATTCATTTGGATAAGGATTAATACCGAACTAAAGAAAATAACTTTGAAAATAACGTAATGTTTTTAATTAAAAATGTTAACATAAAAGTGGTTATTGTAAGTCAACCGTAAGAGATAGAGATATGCTATCGCGGACTTTTTTGTAGCATTTTTATAGATTTTGAATTCTCTAGTACATTACTTAACTGTATCTTTGCTAGTTTACGCGGTGTTCGCGTGGAAAGTTCCCATTTGGCGAGATTTTTTGCGACCTCTTCAACATTTGTCGCCGTATTTCAGCTAATTTACATAAAAGCATAATAAATTATATACCTAAACCTTCCTCAAGAATTACTCTTTCTATTGTTGAAAACCGTATAAAAATCCGTTCAGTAGTTTTCGAGTTTATCGCGTACAGACAGACAGGAGGACAGA